GCAATTGGTCATCACCTTGCTCTACACTCATTGGGTTGGAAAAGTCTAGCCAAAACATGTGTATATTTATTTGTGATAGTATGCACTGTATGCAAATTTCATGCATTTATATACTCTTCAAGCCGTTGTGAGAAATCAATATAAAAGACATCACGCAAGCTATGTGCATGTTGGTCATCCTTGATATCAATTATATTATGACACTCCATAGTCAATATCATCATTTTGAAGCTGCACCATATTTCCCTTCAAAAGTCAATCCTCTACAAATGCAATATCATCATTACCAAATATACATAGAAAGGAGCAAGTTTTACCTATTTATGAACTGAGGAACCATGCAAAAACACATGACTTCCCTCCTATGCATTTGTCAAAATTTATTTCTATTTCATTAAACTCCCCCATTTAGTCACTGCACATGTGTTTTGGCCAACCCAACTATACTATTATCCTGTGGTAGCATTCATAAAGAGTTAAACCTTTTTTTTCCCTTTAAACAAGCATACTTGTGATGTAGTATATCCCTACGTAAACAAACAAAAGAACACATGAGACATTTTTCATATGCTCTTAAAGCATATACTAGCATCAATAGTTCCATATAAGTAGATGCCCTAAGACTTTAGTTGCAATAAGCTGCAAAAAAAAGGTTGTATCAAATAGTAAGATATTTACTATCAATCCACCAGAGTTCTATGGGTGACTTTACATTGAAATGCATACAGGGAATTGGCTTCAAATAAATATGGGCTAAAGCAGCTTTTATCACCTCACGTTTGATTCTATATTTTAGTTTCTTATTCACATACAAAATCCTCTATATTGTCAAGTTTTTGCGTTGTGGGAGAAGTTCTTGAATAATCCCTTCAAACTCAACAACATTTTTCATTGGATAACCTATGCTTTTAAGATGGTGATACAATGTGCATCAGTCGACACTAATTGATATGGTTAAATCCTTCATATTATAGCCTTCCAATGATTTTGCATTTACCCAAGTAAAAACTTGCTTATTTGTTAGCAAACCACTTGTTTGTAAGGCCCTGTCCATGAAAGACTTAAGTTTTGTAAATACTTTTTTCTCAGTTATGATCATGTATGAGCATGAATTTTCATCTTGCCACATATGCATACTTTTCTAGTAGCTCAGCTTCTTTGCCACATTAGTAGGTCATATGGCTAGGTTTAGGGTTTACAGGCGAGCCTATTTCATCATATTTTGTGTGCTGTGAGCTATGCTCTTTGTTGTGGATCGCCTTTCATAAGTCTTTTTCATAGTTTTACCTGAAAAGACATGTGTTTTTCCAACCTTGCAATATTTGCTGCCATGTAGATTCTACCTCCCCCTGAGGGCAGGTATTAACTGCCAATAACAAATTGATTGCCATATTTATTGCAATAATATCTCTATTGAAAGAGTTCACCAACAAGAAAAAGCAATTAGTGACCAATTTTGGTCAAGTGTAACTTAGTTAAATTCTAAGTCTTCAGTGGCAACAGTCTAATTTCCATGTATTTAGTAGTCTACATCAATAGTTAGTTTTAGGTAGGCACTGGAAATTTAGAGAATTATGCATTGAATACTATGGTCAAAGTGGTTTTATAATGGTTACTAAGTAATATGCACTTTATGAATTTGATTGAATTCTATGGTTCTATCATGGTTGCTAAGTAGTATGTATTTTTTTCATTGGTATCTAATTTAATTCAGTGGTCAAAGTAGTTCTAATGCATCATTAAAAATAGGTATCTAATTGAATTTAATTGTTGAATTAGTTCTATGATAGTTCCTAAGTGGAGTGCCAAGAGCAAAACAAGAGAGAGAATAGAGAATGTGCAAATTTTACAGCAGTCGGACTGTGACAGAGTAGTGCTGGTGGTCGACACATAGGTTGGAGAGACGATGAGGTGCCGGTTCATCTTCCGGTTGATAAGCTTAAAACTTTGCTACTCGTGAAAGATCTTGTGTTGCACAAACACAATTAAGAAATATTAGAACTGGATGTCGATTATTTGGTAGAAAATCCTCGAAATAACGTCTAGCATTTTCATCTCCTCCTTTCATGACTCGTGAGCTAAGATCACCAAAACCCCAACGTTTAGAGACAGGAGAGCTTTGGTCCTTCATAAGATATGATACACGAGTTTTCCTGGTCTCTTACGCCTACACAAGCCAAACAAAAATAAGTTGAAAGTGCCCAGAATTCCCGACCAGCTTTCGAGCATACCGTTGTACAAGTTGCATGGAAAACAAGTATATGCTCTCGTCTGGAAAAAGAGTTGAAACATAGCTGATTCCTTTGCATATGTCCAGCTGGCTTTATCAGAGAAGAGTGATGAGTTTGAAGATGGCTTTCCGAACCTCGCATTTAATGCCACTCGTAGACCTTCCTGCAGCAACTCAAGATGAAAAAATCGTTGAAGGAAATAAAAAACATTCAAGAAGAGAAAGAGAGGCAAACGAACAAAAATCTGAATCTTTCGCATGGAACTTGGAAACTTTCGAACCCTTCGTCCGGAAAAAGAGTTGAAAACCGATAGCATTCATGATCTTCAAGTTCGATGAAAGGATTCTTCGGCATTGATGATCATTGGCACAGAGACAGGTCCCCTGTTCTTTTCGAATTCCCCCTGCATCGCATCGCATTTTGCTGGCAAAAGGATGATCTATGCTCCTTGAATATTTGGTTCTTGTGACCATCGGAGTTTGGAGCTGGGTGCCTCTCAAGAACACTTGCTTCCTTCGCATATGCCCAATCTGTTTTGGCAATCAAGACAAGAGTTGGATATAAGCATCAAGATCTCCAGAAAAGAGTGGAGTTTGAAGATGGTTTTCCCATCGAGTGAACCTCGCATTTCATGCCACTCATACACCAGCTCCTGCAGCAACTCAAGCTGAAAACATGTCCGCAAAACAGAAAAAGAAAGAAAAGAGCGAGAAGCAAACATATGAAATGCGATAGCTTTATCTTTTTTCTTCTTGGCTTTGAGTAACACCCTGTAGAAACAGAAGTATCTGCGATCGCGCGCCTTTTCAAATCCTAGGGCTCCAAGAACCCTAATGAAGTGTTACCGTTGGATTGGAGAATCATTTAGAACGCTCACAAGATTCACTGCCCACCACAAACAAGTATTCATCTTATCTTAGCTGTGAATCTCTCGCGCAAGGACACCCCCAGGTATGTGAAATATCCCAGCGATGGCGGACAGGAATTTCAGCTCCTCGGCGCTCGTCTCCACGAGCATTGGCTCCAGGAGCGTCTTTCTTGGCCGCGCCGGCCATGGGAGCCTAGGGTTTGGATTCAAGGCGCTGGGCAAATCCTTTGGCCTGGGGCGATCGTCGCGCAGGAATGTGGCGATTTGCAGCGTGGGAATCGCGGAGGTATTGACAGACGCGATCAAGAATGTGGTTCTGGAGGATGATTCCGCCAAGCAGCAAGGACTCGAGCTCTTGGATTCGTTTTCCAGGCTCCCCGATACCTCGCAGGTGGGGGTTTTGGGGGGATCTCTGCTGGGATGGATTTACCTCACTGCCAAGCCGGGAGTTTTTCTTGGTGCTGTGGATGCGTACTTCCTAGCTCCAGTCCAGGCCGTGGTGGATCGAGCTTTGGGCCGGCGCGGTCTCAAGAGGAGCGATTTCGTCGTGGGTCAGAAGCTGGGAGAGGGATCGTTTGGCACAGTTTACGCTGGAGCGATTCTTCCCAAGGATTTCCAGCAAGAGCAAGAGATTGGAAAGCGCTCGCGGCGGCTCGAGGAGTACCAGGGATACAAGAAGTTCCAGAAAGTCACACTCAAGAAGGTGAGCGTTTCACTTCTCTTGGAGCTTTGGTTACAAGCTTTTCTCGTAGTTTGCCAGGTGAAGATGGACGTCGAGGGAGCGCTCGAGAGCGGAGAGATGGAGGAATGGTTTAACTATCGCATGGCTCGCGCTGCCCCGGATGTGTGCGCGGATTTTCTCGGGAGCTTTGTGGCCGATTCTACTCGAGGACAATTTGTCGAGGGTGGTAAATGGCTCGTCTGGAAGTACGAGGTGAGCTTTGTGTCTTTTTTCTCCTTTTTTGTTGTTGCTCTTGCTGAGGAGCGTTGATCTTTTCTAGGGAGATTCAACACTCGCGGACTTCATGAAGGACAGGAGGTTTCCAGAGAATCTAGCAGAGCCTTTGCTCGGTCGCTCCAGGGAGAAAGATCCACTCAAACGCAAGGCGTTGACGATCAGGAAAATACTGCGAGAGATCCTCGTAGCGCTCAAGAAAATGCACGCGACTGGGATCGTCCACCGCGACGTCAAGCCTGCGAATCTGGTGGTGACCAACAAGGCGAAGCTCAAGTTCATAGACTTCGGTGCTGCCACCGATCTTCGCGTGGGAAAAAACTACGTGCCCGAGCGAGGCATGCTGGATCCCGACTACTGCCCGCCGGAGCTGTTCGTGATGCCGGAGGAAACTCCTCGGCCTCCGCCAGCTCCAATCGCCGCACTGCTCTCTCCGATCCTCTGGCAAGTAAGTCAAGAACTTTTTCTTTGTACGTTTTCATGGCGGTGTTCTTCGTTCTTCTTCTTCTTGCAGCTAAACAGTCCAGATCTCTTCGACATGTACTCGGTCGGGATCATCTTCCTCCAGATGGCCTCGCCGAATCTGCGAACTCCAGTCGCAGTGGAAGTGATGAAGAAAGAGCTGAGCGAAGTTAACTTCGATCTAAAAGCATGGAGGAAGCGAACGCGACTGAGGCCAAACTTCGAGCTCCTGGAGCTCGGGGCTGGGAGAGGATGGGAGCTCGCGTCGAGGCTCGTGTGTGAGCGGCGAAAGAGGCTCTCGGCCGCCGCCGCGTTGCGGCACCCATATTTTCTAAGTTTCTAGTGGCCCGGGGTTCGATTCCGGTCCACAACGACTTGGCGTGTCGGCCTACTTTCCGGCCACGTGTGTCCTTTGCTTTTCTGCCGACCAAATCCCGGTCGGCGGAAACCCGCCGCCCGGCGACCGGAAACGAGTAAGGGGAAAGAGAAAGATGCCTGTGGTTTATAGGATTAGGGCGCCGCGTCAGTGCGCCTGGGGTTAGGGTGTGGGATCGATCGCAATGGGAGGCGACGCGATGTAGGATTTGAGGGGAAATCGATCGTCGTCGAGTGGGGGTATGCATCCAGCAGTAGGAGCGTCGATTGATCGAGCATTAGGCAGTGAGCGCTGCGCTTTCTTTCTTTCTTTTTTCTTGCTCCATCTCTAGGACAGTGTAGGAGAGAGTGCGTCTCAGCCTCCACTGGCAGCTATTCTGCCAAAATCAGCGTGTTTCTCGTCAGTTCCTTCTTCTTGAGCCCTTCTTTAGTTCCTTGTTTCCGATAGTCCGCCAGAATTTTTCCCAGGCGAAGCAGCCCAGCGCACATTCTTTTCTCGAGCTTGAAAAAAAAATCCCCCTTCTTTGTCTTGTCTATCCAGATAGAAAGTTTCTACCATTTTCTTCTTTCTCTCCTCTTCGCCTTTTTGTTGGTTTTCCTTCTCCCTTCGTTTGTTTGTGGACGTTTTTTAAAGTCTCCACAGGACTGTAGTCGTGAAAGTCGTTCTTCTTCTTTAGTGTTGGCAACAAAGCAGTGATCGGGTATTTGTTTAGCATAGTATATTTTGGAAAGAGACACAGAGGCAGTGATATAGAAGATGGGAGTTCCAGCATTTTATAGATGGCTTGCGGATAAATATCCCCTTATAGTCGTAGACGCAGTGGAGGCTGAGCCACGAATAGTTAATGGGTCTACTGTACCCGTAGACAGTAGCGAGCCTAATCCTAACAACTATGAGTATGATAACCTCTACCTCGACATGAATGGGATCATTCATCCTTGTTTTCATCCAGAAGGGCAGGTTTGTTTTTTCTTTGGTCTTTTACGTTTTCCCTCGTACTGATTTTGCTGTTTCAGCCCCCTCCCGCCACCTTTGGCGAAGTGTTTAAGTGCATCTTCGACTACATTGATCGTTTGTTCGCGATCGTTCGTCCTAGGAAGCTTTTGTACATGGCCATTGGTACAATACTTTTTCTTTCGAGAAGAAACATTCTAAGCTTTTTTTCTGCCAGATGGTGTGGCTCCGCGGGCGAAAATGAATCAGCAACGATCCCGGCGGTTTAGAGCGGCAAAAGATGCGGCTGATGCAGTAAGTTTGGTTTCTTTCTTGTTGGTGAAACGCTTTCCGCCTTTTAGGCTGCAGCAGAAGAGCTTTTACGCATGAAACTTGAAGACGAGGGTGAAGTATTCACGTCCAAGAAGAGCAAAGAAGCCTACGATTCCAACGTCATTACCCCCGGCACAGAGTTTATGGAGAGCCTTGCAGTTGCACTTCAGTATTATATATGTCTGCGCCTCAACAACGACATGGGATGGCGAAACATTAAGGTTTGTGAATTTTCCTGTGCAGGTACCTTGACAGTGGTGTTCCTTTTCTTAGGTGATTCTTTCTGATGCCAATGTTCCTGGAGAAGGTGAACATAAAATTATGTCTTACATTCGTCTGGAAAGAAACCTTCCGGGATATGACCCAAACACTCACCATTGCATCTATGGTTTGGTACGTTTTTCTGCATGTATCCATGTATGAGTCTCATTTCTGTGCACTGTCAGGACGCGGACTTGATCATGCTGGCTCTTGCTACTCATGAAGTTCACTTCTCTATTTTAAGAGAGGTTGTCCGAAGTATTTCGAAGGCGAAAACATTCTCACTGAAACCATCGTTTTGCAGGTTGTGACTTACTCTGGGCCACAATGCTTTCGTTGCTCGCAAACTGGTCATCTTGCCGAAGATTGTCCGGGCGACGTCAAACCCAAAGAAGGCATCCCTGAAGCTCCTAAGAAGCCGTATCAGGTAATATTTGAAATCAGCGAACGACGTAAATGACTCGTGGAATTTGTTGCTACAGTTTCTTCAGCTATGGGTTTTACGTGAGTACCTGGAGTACGACATGCGCATTCCTGATCCACCATTTCCTGTTGATTTTGAACGCCTTGTCGACGACTTCGTCTTCATGTGCTTTTTTGTTGGGAATGACTTTCTTCCGCACATGCCGACCCTAGACATCAAAGAGGTATGTACGTTTCTATGTCGTTCTGATAAATTCTGCTTTGTTTTCTGCAGGGAGCCATAACTCTCTTAATGTCTATTTACAAGAAGGAGTTCAAGAATATTGGTGGATATCTCACGGAGTATGACCTGGTAAGGCTTTAGATGTACATTTAAGTAGCTTACGTTTATCGGTGCAGATAAATTACCAACGGGTCACGCATTTTATTCAGCGTGTTGGAAGCATGGAAGATGCTATTTTTCAGAAGCGAGCACGTGTTCGCCAGGTTTTGACTAGTGTGTTTTGTTGGTGTGTGTAATTAACGAGCTGGTTTCAGGCTCGCGACAAAGCTGATATCAGGTCTGGAAGGGCTACTGAAGAAGACCTTGATGACGACGATGCAGTAAAGCTTGGAACACCAGGGTGGAAGGAACGGTATTACAGGGAAAAGTTTGGAGCAAAAACAGCAAAAGAGGTCGACGAAATTCGTAATGATGTGGTAAGTATAGTGTTTTGTAGAATTCTATTCAATGGACTTGTGGTTGCAGGTTTTGAAGTACGCAGAGGGATTGTTTTGGGTGTTTCGGTACTATTACAGCGGGGTTTGCTCGTGGCGCTGGTAAGTGTAGGCATTTCTGGGAAATGTCACTAAGATTTCTTCTGCAGGTATTACCCGTACCATTATGCTCCTTTTGCATCTGACTTAACAAAATTGGATGAATTGGAGCTAACGTTTTTTCCTGGCGAACCATTTAAACCGTTTGAACAGCTCATGGGGGTGCTTCCCGCAGCAAGGTTTGATATTTTCTTTTTGTACTTGCTAAAATTCAACGGATTGTCTCCAGCGCGGATGCTCTACCAAAAAACTATAGGACACTGATGACTGATCCCAGCTCGCCAATCATTGACTTTTATCCCATAGGTTAGAAGTGATATTGTTTTGTGGTTCTGACGCCTATCCTATGCAGATTTTGAAGTTGACATGAATGGGAAACGCTTTGCTTGGCAGGTATTACCAAATTCTCTGCTCTACTAATCCTACATACTCACGCATTTTGTAGGGCGTTGTGAAACTTCCTTTCATAGATGAGAACCGCTTGTTGTCGGAAACGAAGAAAGTGGAGCGGACTTTGACGGTTAGTATTGTGGTGATGTTTGAATCGTATTAACTCGCCATCTACCAGGAACAAGAATCTAGAAGAAATTCAAGCAGTTCCGACATACTCTATGTACATTCTAGTCATCCCCTTGCTCTCGTTGTGATGCTCTTGTATGAGCGGTGTGCATTTCTCTCGGATGAACAAAAAGCTAGGGTAGTGGAGGAGATTGACCCAACGATAAGGTTTGTACGATGGCTTGTATTAGTGTCAAAACTCATCGTACCTGTTTTGTATAGTGGGGGGATGAACGGGTTCCTTACACCGTGCAAGGATGGGATTCGTGCAGTAATCAGCTCGCCCGTGACAGGCATGCTAAGCATAAAGAACACTGCTGTGTAAGTCATGGATTTCTTATGAAGGTTATGTGACTTACGTGGTATGCTGTTACGTAGTGCTGTTATATTCAAACCTCCCCGGTTCCACGAACACATTGCGAAACCACCTCCAGGCGTCGTCATGCCGCCAAAGGTTAGTAGAAGATAGATTCATGGCTCACAATTTTGTCCGCTGTTACGCAGACTGTTCACCAGGACGACGTCAAGGATCAGCCTCTGTGGCACGAAGAGAATGGTCGAAGAGACAACGTCGTCAACAGGTAACTGTTACTTCGCAAGCCAGACTTCTAAGACCCTTTGTCTATCGCTCCAGGCCTGCAGTCTCCGGTGCTATGTCGGGGATGAGACTCGGCGATGCAGCTCGGCGTCTCGTAAACAGCAACTTGCCAAGCAGGAGCAGCACAAGCAGCAACGCACGCCCATCATCTCCCAACAACACGGGAATCCTTAGCATGCCAAACAACTCGTACCAGCAGCCACCGCCGCCGCCACAGTTCTCCCGTCCGCGTCCAGCGGGTCCTCCAGGCTTCGACGGCTTCCCTCCAAATCCCGTCTATCCACCTCCAGGCTCCTACGGCAATCCGCCACCTCCATTCTACAGGCCGCCGCCATTCGCAAATGGTCCGCAGATGATTTCCAGGCCTTCTCCGGGGGTGCCTGGAAATGCTCCAGGATTCATGGGAAGAGGTGGCGGCGGTGGTGGCGGTGGTGGCGGTACCGGTGGCGGTGGTGGTCACCAGATGCAATATCAGCATCCGCAACATCATCATTTCCAGCAGCAACAGGCGCCTCCAATGCCTCCGAGTGCTTGGGCGGGATCTCCGAGAGGGCCGCCTCCTCATTTTGGCCAGCCTCCGCCTCCAGTGGCTCCTCCTCCGATGGTCTACCATGGTAATGGAGGGAGAGGCCGAGGTGGTCCTGGTAATAACAGGGGCTTGGTCCAAGGCAACCGTGGACATGGTGGATACTGATGTCTTCTCTTTGTTCTTGCTTTCATCATTTCGCAGTGTGTGTAGCTTTGTATGATATCTGTGAAAGAAATTACGAGTAGACCATTGGGGATCCCATCTGATCTTGGGCAGTGGGATAAGGCTCGTCACTAAAGTCGAGTCGAGGAACCTTTCTCTTTGTTTTTTGCTGTCATCACGCTTTGTTCTTACAGTATGATTTATGATATGTAGAAGTTAACGAGTACACCGTTGGATCCATCTGATCTGGGCGATGCTTGTCACTAAGGTCGAGGATCTGCGCTGGTGCCTCTTGCCGTCTCGCGTTGACAAGCGCCACCACCTTTCTCGAGACCTTGACCGCGCTGACCGGCTCACACTGGATGTGATCTTCTTTGGAGCCCTTTTCGTGTTAGTGTTGACTGGCGCTTTGATTTGCGCTAACTTTGCTTTCGATCTCCTTCACCTAAAGGCTTATTTGAATTCCAGATCCAAAAGGAAAGATTGAGCAAATTTTTATTTAGGTCAAAAGACCATTAACTTGCATTGAATTTAGCTGACTGCGCTTAAAGGATCTTCTCCGCCAGATGCACACCTCCTCGGGCCTTTTGAGCCTTTTCTCTGCGTTTGGTTTCACAAGTCCTGGGGGAATTTGAGGAGACAGAAGAATCACTCCGTGACACTTGGATCTCGTGTCGATCGTCACTGGCTCTTGTTATGTAACGGCAAATCAGATTGAAAATACCCCACCAGAATTTGCAAGCCAAAAGTCCAAGGAGATTCCAAGTATGATGCGCGACGTTGAAAACCATTTTTCCTGTGCTTCTAACAAAAAAGGTGACAAAATCGAGTTGAATCTGTACCGTCCATCTAAGTATTTCCCCAGCTTGGCACGCGGTCAGCGCTGGAAAGTATGACAAGGTCAATGCTTTTCTAGGGCAAAAACTCTTTACGCGCTATCATTCTCTTGTTCTTGCCAAGTGAGGTAAGCCACCAAAATCCGGGGAAAGGGGAGGAGGAAATCTAGGGGACCGAGTGGATGAGCGCGGCCAGAATCGTGGCGAGGGGGGCAAGACGGATCGCATTGACGGCGCTGGCCAATCCCCATGGAAAATGGAGGATTCCATCGCTTGCAGCTTCGAGCTGTCGGCGCTCACAGAGAAGCTGTGGCACGCGAGCGTGGCGGCCAAGATCCGGCGCCGCCAGTGCCGCGCCCTCCACCTCCGCTGCTCCCAGATCGATGGCTACGTGCTGGCCTGGAAGGCTGGCGGATCCAGGGCCGAATTCGTGACGCGCGCCGGCCCGGCAATGCTGGAGATGGTGAAGATCTTCAAGCGCGCGCTCAAGCTGGTGGGTGACTGTGGCGGCGCTCGCTGCTGGCTCCAGATGGCGGCGGCGCGGCTCCACAGCGGCGACGAATTCCTGGCGGTGCTCGAGGATCTGGAGGAGGTCGTGGAGGCCGTGAGCGCTAGGGTTTTGATTGGCGGCGGCGGCGGCGAGATCCTGCGCCACAAGTGCCTCGAGCACCAATCCTTCGTGCGCGAGGAGCTGCTGGGCGCGGAGGCGCGTGAGCGCGAGAAGATGGTGGCGGCGCTGGAGCATCGGGTCCGCGAGGCGGGGGACCCGGTGAGCGCCCACGCGCTGGAGCGGCTGAGGCAGGGCGGCGGCGATACGGCGGCGCCGCCGATGCTCCGCCGGGCGGACGTGACGTGGGAGCCGGCGGACAAGCTCGGGCAGGGCGCGTCCGGGACGGTGTACCGCGCGGACTGGCTGGGACAGGCGGTGGCCGTCAAGGTCTTCAAGCGCGACGACGTCACGTTTGAGAGGGAGGTGGCGGCGCTCGTCGCGCCACACCCCCACGTCCTCCAGGTGATCGGCTACCTGGGCGCTGGCGATGGCGATCCGGTGATCGTGATGGAGCTCATGCGCATGGATCTGCGGCGCTTCCTCGACGCTGGCGGTGGCGGCGGCGCGCCCTCCCACCTCGCCATCGACTTGCTCCTCCAGATCGCCCGCGGTACGCAATTCCTCCACGACCACGGCGTCGTCCACCGCGATCTTAAGCCGCAGAACGTCCTGGTGGACTTTGACGGCAACGACCGGCGGATGGTCAACGTTCTGTTGACTGACTTCGGCATCGCGAGGACCGGCTTTGACAGCATGGTCAACGACTTGACCAGCCTCCGCGGCACGCCGCGGTACATGGCGCCCGAGATGATGGCGTCCGCGGCCGCGACGCTGGGCGGCTACTCGCGCAAGGTGGACGTGTACAGCTTTGGCGTGCTGTGCTCCGAGGTTCTCACTGGATCACCGCCGTTTGGAGACAAGCGATGGCTCGGGATCAACGAAGTCAGGGAGATGGTCGACTCCGGGAAGAGGCCCGAGCTCCCGGCGTCGTGCCCCGGCGAGCTCCGGGATCTCATTACGCGCTGCTGGAGCGGCGACGCCGAGTCCCGCCCCGCCTTCTCGGAGATCGAGCGCGAGCTCGCCAGTATCAAGAGGAAGCTCTTGGCGTGGAACCTCACGGAGAGCAGCACCACCGCGAGCAACAACAACACGACGAGCTCTAGCAGCAGCAACAGCGTCAGCGTCAGCGTCGTCCACCACGACGATCGATCCAGCGTGGTTCTTCCCGGTGTGGAGGAGCTGCGGCTGCGAGGAGCGCCGGTGGTTGGCAGCAACCTTGGCGTCCGGTTGCGGGCAGTGAACGGTGCCGCGTTCGTCCTCTGCCAGTGGATCTGCGAGGGCGAGAGTGGAATAGCTCATCAGCCACCGGTGCTGGTTCCAGTGATCACCGCGGCCTCGTCTTCTTCCATCCCGGAGCTCACCCGCACGATCACAGCCGCGGAGTACCGGAAGAAGCTGGTGCTCCAGTGCCTGCCGCTCAGCTCCACGATGCGTCCCGGGATCGTGGCCAGGAAGTCGAGCAGCAGGGTTGGGCTTGGCGGCGAGCTCCAGGAGACGATCGAAAGGAGCTACGCCGGCGGCCAGGCGAGCTTCAAGGTGGTCCAGCTGCGCCCGCGGTGGTGGGAGTCGACGGGGAAGCTCTTCATCAATCGCCAGGACTATCTCCTGTGGTGGGGGCAGGGAAATCCCAAGAACGTCCGCTACTCCTTCTCGGACTCCCCACAGGGGCGCGAGCACCCGGCCCCGCTCCAGCTCTCGCCCGCGGGGCCGATGCTGTGCGATCTCCGGAGGAGCGACGGCAGCTCGTGCGTGATCAAATTCACGGCGCAATCCACCCGCGACGCAGCCGTGCTCACGATGATGTACTTCTGGGAACGGCGCCATGAATCCATCTCGGCGCGGTAGAGAGGAGGGAATCGATTTCAAATGGGAAACATATTCTTTGGTGGGCATATTCGTGCTCGTTTCTGGGAATCTTCTCGTTGGGGTATATTCGCTCAAACTCAAGGCCAGCAGATCAAGAACCCGCGGAGTCTCATGGGCGATCCAATGCAAGGAGGAGGAGTGGCGGCGGCGGCGGCGGTGGCATTGGAGCTCTGCGAGGAGGGAAGAGGAAGGGGAGGAGGCGGCGGCGCGGTGAAGGGATTGAAGAAGGGGCCGTGGACGCCGAGCGAGGACGCGATTCTTGTGGGCTATGTTCACAAGCACGGCGAGGGCAACTGGAACAATGTCCAGAAGAACTGCGGCCTCTCGCGCTGCGGCAAGAGCTGCCGGCTGCGGTGGGCGAATCACCTCCGCCCCAACCTCAAGAAGGGCGCCTTCACCCCCGAGGAGGAAAGAACCATCATCGAGCTCCATGCCAAGCTCGGCAACAAGTGGGCGAGAATGGCGTCACAGGCAAGCTCTTTTTCCATCTCTCTCGAGCTCTCGAGCTCTCGAGCTCTCTCCTCTTCTTTGCGATTTCTCTCCCTCTCCCTCGAGCTCTCTCTTCTTGCATTCTTTGCTTCTTTCCTTGTCTCTATGCTGTGATGAATGATATCTCATCTCATCTCTCTTTCTTTCTTGGCTCTAGTTGCCCGGAAGGACTGACAACGAGATCAAGAACTACTGGAACACAAGGATCAAGCGGAGGATGCGAGCGGGGCTGCCGGTCTATCCCCCGGACCTCCAAGACTTGTGCTCCAATCTTGCTCGCGGCGGCCATCACCGGAAAGAAGCGCAAGAAGATCATTATCTTGGTCATCACCACAACCAGGTGGTGGTGAGCAGTAGCACCAGCAGCAAGAGCAGCAATAGCAACAACAGTAGCAGGAAGAGCGGCGGCATCTTGATCGCCGCCGCCAAGAACAGCCACGACCATCCTTCCTCGATCGCCACCTCGTCCTACTACAACGACGATGGAGCTCGAGGCGATGATCATCACGACGACTTTGCCGCTGCTTATCACCACCACCGTCTTCTCGAGCAGATCAACCAGCAGCACCAGCAGCAAAGCCAGCCGGAATCCACGAGCGAGAGCTATGGATCCAACAGCGGTGGGAGCGGCGGCGGCAACTTCTTGCGTGATGTCTTGTTCCACCAAGACCATCAAGCCCAGCGCGATCACGATCACCACTCCCCGGACGAGCAGCCGCTGGTCTACGGCAAATCCAGCGCCGTCAACGAGGAAGGAATCTATCAGCTGAGGCTCTTCGAGGTGTGGGACGAGGACCAGGTGGAGCAAACCACCACCGCCACCACCTTCCGTAAGTTCGTGAGATTCTCGAGTGATTGATTCTCTAGTTTTCTTGATTCTTTCATCCTCCGGGCACTCGTTCTAGTTTGCTTCGATTGATTCACAGTTTTCTTGCTCTCTGGTTGCTAGTTTTATCTGATCGATCGCTGCGATAAAGCTCTCACTTTGGTGAACTTCCAGGGGGTGGATTGGTGTGCCCGGACGAGGATTTCTACGCGCTGCTCGAGCTCGAGTCGCAGATGCCGGGGCCACCGCCGGAGCTCATCCCCGTGCCTGTAAACCTTTTAAGTTACAGCAGCGGCTTGAATCACCCGGCTAACTTGGCTCTCATGTTTCAAGGTGAGATGATCCCTGCTCTAAACTCGCCGTCCGCCACGCAGCTCAATTGCTACCCGTGCCTCTACAACCGAGACGAGCTCCCGGATCTCTACCAGCAGCAGCAGCAGCAGCAGCTCATGTGGGACTAACACACACTGATTTATTTGCCATACATTCTTTCTAACCCACCATTGATATTACACAAACTTTCTTCGAAAATGGAGAGAGTTTATTAAAACTTTGGTTTCTTAGCATACAAAATTCTTGGTCGCGACTTCAATCGCGCACGATCAGTGCGTCTCGGCCAGGCCCAACTCCGATAAACTGGACTTTGATGCCAACCAGTTCCTCTATCCTTTGAACGTAAGCTTTGGCGGCTCCTGGCAGATCCTTGAACTTCCGCACGGAGCTTATGTCCGTCTGCCATCCAGGAACCGTCTCATACACAACCTGCAAAGAAACAAGCGCTTGTGAGCTATCTAGATTGAAACACGCAGGATTTTACCTTGACTTTCTCCAAGAAGCTGAGATCCGCGGGAAAGGATGGGACGCTCTCGTCTTTTGGTCCCTTGTACGCGATGCCGAGCTTGATCTCCGGGAGATTCGACAGCACGTCCAGCTTGGTGAGATTCAGCGACGTGAATCCATTGATCTCGCATGAATAGTTGAGGGCAACAACGTCCAGCCATCCACAGCGACGCGGTCTCTTCGTCGTCGTGCCAAACTCATTTCCCGTCTCTCGCAAGCTCTGCCCAAGCTCACCGAATGCCTCGGTTGGATATGGCCCAGCTCCAACTCTAGTTGTATAAGCCTTCGCCTGCGAAATCACAAAACGAGTTAACGAAGCACTGAAAACGAGTAGCCAAGAAGCGGAGAGCTTACCACTCCAATGATGTCACCGAGTCTCTTTGGTGCGATTCCAAGCCCTGTACACACTCCACCGACAGAAGGATTCGAGGACGTCACAAACGGGTAAGTCCCAAAGTCGACATCCAGCATTGTTGCCTGGCCTCCCTCGACCAGTATCTTCTTCTTATCATGGTAAGCCTGATTGATCAAGTAAACCGTATCAGCAATGTAAGGCCCAAGCTTCTCAGCGAAGTCCCTGTACCTTACCACCTCCTTCTCTAACATGGACTTATCATACGTGAACTTATCAAACCTGGCAGCGGCATCCTCGAGCAAGATTTCTAGCTTATCTCGGAACGTGCTCATGTCGAGCAAGTCTCCCACTCGGATTCCATTCCGGGTGGCTTTGCTGGCGTAGCAGGGGCCGACGCCGCGTTTAGTCGTCCCAATCATGGACCCGGCGAGCTCGGCTTCTCTAAGCGCGTCGACGGTCCGGTGGAAGTCGAAGAGGAGATGAGCACGGTCGGAGACGCGGATCCTCCCCTCGCAGGAGATTCCCTTGGCTTCCAGCTGCTTGATCTCCTCGAAGAGCTTGGGGAGATGGACGACAACACCGTTGCCTACCATACATACTGTGTCGCGCTGAAGGATTCCAGAGGGTACGAGGTGGAGAGCAAACTTATCGCCCTTGTCATCGTAGATGGTATGACCAGCATTGTCGCCGCCCTGGAACGAAGAAGGATCGTCAGGAAACACAGTTCATCCAGCCAAAAGGAAACAAGAACGAAGGCACAAGCAAAGAAAAATCGCACGAGCGAAGAAAACCCTTCTGCGATGAACGAGCAAAGAAAAATCTTAAGAACGAAATCTAAGATTCGCACGAGCAAAGAAAACCCACAAGAAATCTAGGAGAAGAACCTTGGCTTTCCTCTATACATTTTTACCTGGCATCTCGCAACAATGTCGTAGTGCCTGGCCAGGATATCAACGAGCTTGCCCTTGCCTTCGTCGCCCCACTGGGTACCAAGGACCGCGCAGACCTGGCCGAGACTGGAATAGGGATCCGCAATCTTCGCCTTGGCGACGTCGGATTGCTGCTGCCGCTGCTGCACTGCCTGCGCATTGCACAAAACCCTCCCCCTTGCCGATCCCAGCAGCCTTAGCTGATCGTTCCTGCGCCCCCTGCGCGGCTGCGAGCTCGATCCCAGCCCCGCCAAGCCTGATGCCTGCATCGCGCAGACGGAATCCATGAGCTCCTGTTTCCCAAAGCCCTAAAAAGTGAGCTTCAATCAAACGGTCGTAAGCAGATCAACGGTCTATATTTTTAAGTATAAGCATCAAACCTTTAACTTTAGGACTAATAAACTAGTGAGTCTATCTATCTATCACCACAATGTATATTCCTAACTTGCCGCTGCTAGCAGGGAGGGATAATGTTTAGAAATTTCTTGTTGATGTTCACTTTCTGCTTGTGGAAGTGTGCCAAAGCATGGGTGGCGATTAATGGGCTGGAGAGAAAAGTGGATTATAAGTATTTATGGGTCTAAGAGTTGGGCTATTGTGCTATGGCAATCTAAAATACCAAAAATTCAATCTTTATTCCAATAAATGTTACTATCCATTTGCCACCTTACAATGACATTATGTAAATGAACTTTATGTTGTCCTTGTGTCTGGTGTTACTATAGCACTTTCAACAGCTGTCAAGGTGGCAAAGTATTGTATATGGTAACTCTTAATTCAAGCCATGGCATGTGGTGTTATGAAAATGTCCTAGGAGAGAATCAAGTAAGATCTCACTCACGGTGCAATTCAGCTGCTCCTTCAGGTGTGTTGTGGGTTATGGCTAGCAAGCCTATCTTGAAAGATGTATAGTTAGGTAAGGTAGTTTAATTTCTATACTAAACTCTTTGGGAAATTTTTTGTTAATAGTTCACTCTCTACCAATAGAAGAGTGGGCAGTCATTGGCAGGTTGGAGAGAAGAGTAGATTGCAACAGTTGGATTGTCATGGGAAAACTCACTTTTTGTTGCCACAGCTTAGAGCAAAATTAAACACAAAGCTAAAGTGAATACCAAAAGGATAAAACAAAAAAGGAAAACTAAACTTATGTATTTGTGCCTAAATTGCTCTAATTCTTACACTAGTGCGGCGAAGTTGAACACCACCCATACTCTAAAGAATAAAGGGAATTAATAGTAGTTTGTGAATTAAATAGTTATTTATTTGAGTAAACTCAATGAATTTAATTTGTAAAATATTTTTATATTAAGGTAAATTTATTTTTATGGTATTTTTCCCCTTGAGCAATCTAGTATGGTTTATAATATTTTTAAAAACATTAGCTACTATAAATTATAGCTTCTAGTTTTAACAAACCTTAATTTTATTAATAATAACTGGAGAAATGGTCAATATAATGGTTTTTATAAAGGAAGAATTATTACTATAGTGGTAAATAAAAATACAACAAAAAATTTAACAAACTTTTAATTAGATGTATATAATGTATATTTTTATTTAAAACATTTAATAGATGGTTATCAATGATAGTGGGAGTTTATTTATTAATGCTCTTTAATAATTTAACTTTTTGTATCTTACAATGGAGAATTGTCATAATCAACTACTGAAAAAAATCTCACTCAACCACTAATAGTTAACAATAACACTAACAATAACAAGCCTATTGTGATGTAAACACACACTCTCTCTCTCTCTCTCTCTTGTATGTTTTTAGGGGATTAAGTATTTAAATAGTAGTTATATTTCCTTTATATTTTCATTTATAATTTATAATGGAGATCTTGCAGGATACATAGTTTTCCTAATGTCTTTGTTGAAGAAATTACAAAATGTTATTTTCCCAGTCACTTGCCGTTACTTTGGTGAATTTTGCCATGATCCCCACCTATCGCTCGATGGCTGGACCTTCACCACCAGATCATGTTGGTTCATGAAACCAGATGGAGGGCGGAGACTAGTGCTGCTGGCTTGATCGCCACAGCCGTCTTCTTTGCTTGAGGACTGGCAGCGCAATGCTGGCTTTAGGAGCATGCAAGAGGAGAAATGTACACCTCATTGCTATTTCTCTTTGGTTGGAGCTTGATGATATGGAAGCATCTGATAGTATCCTAATCCAAGTATACAAAACTGTTGAGTATCACCTGTGAATCACCCAAACGTAAGGGCCCAAGAGTTTCTGCATAAGTAAAAAACGAATTCTTCAATACCGAAAGAAACTCTCTTAGACATTTTGAGAGAACGATCAAAACACTCCATGTATTTTGCGAGCTAAACTTCTAAAAGAGTAATCCTATACCAAACAAAAAGGTGCACACTAGAAGTCCCAGCAGGCCAATGAAAGAAAACTTCCTGCACGAATCAAACATCCAAAAACCGTCCAAGATTGATAAATCGGAAGAATACCCAATGGATAGCCTGTTGTCTGGAATGCCGGTAGAGTAGCCCGTGAAATAAAAGTAGCGAGTCACAATGTACAAAGCTCCAAACAGTGCTGCCACAATCGGGTACTACATCCATGGAAAAGCAAAACGTTAGATTGAATCTACAAAGTTCCATCACTACCTTAAGACCTCCAAGGAGGAGCAGAGTGAGAAAGAGTGGCATGAGTTCCAGAGTGTTTTGGTGACCCCTCTGTGCAAATGAAGCAGAAAAAACGATTCAATCAAGAAGAAATGTTACACCAGGAAGAGCAGAGAAAAACCTGGACACAATTGAATAGCTTGGCCTCCTTGTTCTCGCTCTCAAGAGCATACAGAGTTGGGTAAGGCACCTTGTAGCTGGAAACAAAGAGAAATCAAGCAAAACAAGTAGAAAACCATGGGCGAGCCCCAAATCCACTCAATTACTCACCGCTTCCGTGCCTTGCCGACCTGCAACATCATCCAAACGTTGAGAACAAACTTTGCCACAACGATCAACACCACAAATCCATAGTTGCTGCTCAGCTCCACAGTCGCCATTGTCTTCTCGCTTTCTACGCCAAAGAACTGCTGCCCTAAATAGTTTCTAGATTTTATATTTTAATCGATTGTGCTCGACCAATCCAAGTTATTGTCGACAAGCTAAAAAATAATTTGTGACAAATCACTAACGAATTGCCAGAGAGGGCTTCGTTAGATAAGTCTAGCGCTGTTCTTCCCTTTCCCCTGGGTATCATAGTGTATGTTCCTGGGTGAGACTCGACCACTGCTGGAAGATTGGATTCGTGCTTTTGTTCTGTCGTCCCGCTTCATGGTTTTGATAGAACCGTGAATCCAATTACTTGAGATTCAAGAGATCCTTCCTCTTTTATTCTTGCTTTCATCACATGCATGCCAAGGATTTGAAAGCTTCATTCATGAGTGTTAGGGAGACCCTCCAAAAACACGTATTATTACTTGAGTGAGTGTGATTTAAGAGTACCCAAAGAGTTAATTAAGGATTCCATCTGGGCACTAGTAAACTGAGACGGCGAGATGCACTGGCGCAGTTCCTTGACTTTAGTGACGAGCATCGTTCTACTGCCCCCCAGATGAGCGGGACAAAACAATCCAGAGCGGTACCAAAATCCACAAAGAAGACCACCACGAGAAGGGCTCCAAAGAAGACCAAGCAGCTCGAAACGAGCGAGAGCATGAACATCCAGTGTGAGCCATTCAACGATGGGCTTTGATCTCCTTGGGACGAGCACTAGAGCTGCCCAACCATTATAGAACTTAGAAGGCTCTTGGTCCTCGCTCCTTGTTTTCTTGATGGCATGCTCTTCTTGGCAATGCTTCTAGATAGAAAGGCACTATAAAGGCGAGAAATACGAAAAGGTTAAAAAAGAAAGTCCTTCCCAATAGAATATTCTTTTTTAAGTGAGAAATATTAAATTTATAGTTTTTTCCAAGATAACTTAAACCACCCAAAATTTAATATTGAAAAATAGAAAAAAAACAATTTTATATATATTTAATTGCATGACCTAAAAAAAAAAAACAGTTATCTTTAGCAATTAGTAAGAATTAAATTGAGTGCTTTTTTTTTCTTTTTAAGAATGTTTTTGTTGTAAATGTTTTAAAAAAAACTATAAAACATTAAAATATAGAAATATCTAATTTAGGCTAATTTTCTCATAACTTGCAAAATAGAGATATTTAACAATACCTTTCCTCCTATAATATTTAATTTGATCTTAGTTTGTGTAATATGAAGACATGACTACCTATCCATACTCATTATGATACATTATAACTTCCTGTATATGTTCCTTAAGACATTTAGTCTGCAACTGAATGATCGGGTGGGACAAGGCCATTGAAAAAAAACCTTTCTCGTTGGATCCTCCAAAACGAATGCTGCCGTAAAAGATTCTTGGTATCTTAATTGTATATCCAATAATTGAGACTGATTTGTATTTAACTCTGGCTGGCCTGCGTGTTTTCTTGCGAGGAGATGTCAAGCAATGGAGGAGCTCCTCTCGATTGTTCAAGCGCGAGTCCCTTTATTCTCAGATCAATCCAAGTTATTGTCACGGCCCTTGCCTTCGGTCTCATATTTGGTGACAAGCTAAAATATTACTCTGAACAAGACACTCTTGCACTTGGAGAAGGAACCAGGTATAAGACCATGATCAAATTTAGTCTCACCAAAGCACTTCTTTTGTTTTTGTAGGTTTGCTGGGACTATGAATGTCGTAGCTTGTGTGTATGCAATTGGAAGCCTGGTATGGTTGATCTTGGCAAGAGGAAAGAAGCCCAGCGTTGTCACTGCCAGTATCATCTTCGCTCTTGATCAGGTGTGAGCTTTGATTTGCTAGGTAAGGCTTCGATTGATAAGAGCGTCGTTCTCACAGATTCTAGCATATTTACTGATGGCCAGTTCTTCCGCTGCTACCGTGGGTGTCAAACTGGTTGACGATGTCGTGTATGCACTTCTCGGTGAGAAACTCTCGACCGGATCCACCGTGACTGCTGGAGTGGCGATTGGATTCGTAAGCTTCGCTGCATTTGCTCTATCGACTTTGCTCGCCCTGCGAGAGCTTTTCATGGTTTTGATTTCGGAGAACCGTGAATCCACCAGGGCTTCTCGAGGGCACGAACCCAGCGCTCCTCCAGCGGACGTGTCGGAATCTCAATCCAATCTTCACTTAGTGACAACGCAGGCGTGACTTGCGAGGCTTGACTTGCGCGCACAAACGTTTTAAAAATTTAAAATTATTTTTCTAGGGTTTTGAGTTCCTGGCTATGGCGGATGAGAGCGTGAGGCTGCTGTGTGTGTGGTCCAGCCCCTACTCCATGCGCGTGATGCTGGCGCTGGAGCTCAAGTCGATCCCCTACGAGCGCGTCGAGCAGGACGTGAGGAGCAAGGGCGAACTGCTGCTTCGATCCAATCCCGTGCACAAGAAAGTCCCAGTGCTGATCCACAACGGCAGGCCAATCGCGGAATCCAGCGTCATAATCGAGTACATCGACGAGCAGTGGCGCGATCGCGGCGACGAGATTCTCCCCAGGGATCCATACGCTCGAGCGCAGGAGCGATTCTGGGCAGATTTCGTGGAGAAGAAGGTATGGTTGATCGAGTTTGAGCTCTTCTCGCGATCGACAGGGGGAATTCTTTTGCTCTAGATCTTTGCCGGATCGGCGAACGTGGTGTTCCGGGCCACCGGGCAGGACGATTTCCTCGCCAGCTGCGACATTCTCGAGGAGGAGCTGCGCAAGAGCAATCGCGCGCCCTATTTCGGTGGCGCGAAGCTCGGGCTCGTTGACATTGTCCTCGTCTCCACCGCGCTCTGCTCCAAATCGCTCGTCGAGGTCGGGGGCCTGAGGCTGCCATCGCGCGACGCCTGCCCGCGATTCCTCGCCCTCCTCGACGCGATCCGGGAGCACCCGCTGGTGCGCTCGTCGCTGCCATCCCCGGACAAACTCCGCGACTTCTTCGCCACGGCAATGCCATGGATAAAAAGCTTATCTTAAACCCAATGTGGGCACTGATGCTTTTAATGGCGCGAGCTAAAGATTTCTCCGCAAGAATCGGCCGCTTTTGGGGGCCATAGAAGTTTAAAAGAAAAAGTTGGCGAAGCTTTGTGTAGGGCAACATGTGTATCACCAAGGAGTGCGCGGATCCCACGGAGCCGGGGGTGTGGTGGCGGGAGGATGATCAATGGGTCCAGTATCCCCCGGACATCGCCCTCAGCATCAAGCTCGCGAAGTCCAAGCTCGATAGTAGCAGTAGCAATCCCGCCGATGGTAAGAAACAAGGTGGCGAGGCCAAGGATGTGGAGATCGGGTTCCACAACTCCACCAAGTATCCCAACGGCATGCCGTACAAGATTGACCTCGAGAGAATGCACCAGGTCAACGTGAGGTCTGGGTACCGCCGCGAGATCAAGATTGTTCTCAAGGAAGGCGAGCAGACCACCATCAAGCCAGACGAGGTCCTCGTTTGAGTTGACTTTTTTTTGCTTTGCCGCTGACTTTTTGGGTGTTTTGCTTCTTTTCCCAGGTGAAGGTGCTAGCGAGTAATAAGAGCCGCGCGTATCCAACTAAGCCGGGGGTGTGGTGGCTCGACAATCATAAGAAATGGGTCCAGTATGAACCGGACATTGCTCTCAGAATCAAGCTCGCGAAGTCCAAGCTCGAGAGTAGCAAGCGCGCTGGTGGCAAGAAACAAGGCGGTGAGGCCGATGATCAGCTGGAGGCTGCCTTCACCTCTGCCAAGTATCCAAACGGCACGCCATACAAGATTGACCTGGAGAGGATGGAGCAGGTCAACCTGATGACTGGATATCGCCGTGAGATCAAGATTGTTCTCAAGGAGGGCGAAGAGACCACCATCCAGCAAGACGAGGTCCTTGATTTCCTCCTGCTGGTCAACGTGGTTGACTTGTATTTTGCATTGCCACTGATTTTGGTTCTTTTTTCCAGGTGAAGGTGCTCTTCACGAATTATAACAGCATGAAGATGGTGCGGCTCGACAAGCCAGATGCTCGGGTGGTACTCCAGGCGGCGACGCGCGGGCGAAAGAGGGCGAGGGTGACGCTCGCGTCAACGGAGGTCGCCGCTGACTATTGGATGGTCAACTTTGCGACCATGAAAGCCACCGGGTATAGGAGCGGCTGCCTCATGGACAGGGCGGTCGCGACTCTTTCGGTGGCCATTGACTGCCCCTGGAATCCGGAGGTGGTCAAAGCTAGAATGGACGCTCGCAAAACCCTCCAGAAGCTGGTAAGAGTTGCTTTAATCCCTGCTCGCTTTTCTAACGAATTTTTTCGTTGCCAAGGTTGCTGAAGAGATGCCGAGGATGGACGCAGCCAACACTGGCGATTAATCTCATTCTTTTCCTCTGAGCTTTGGTCAAAATCTTTCTATTGTCATTTTGTTCTTTCTATTGTCATTGTCATCGCATGAATTTTACATCCAATATAAAGATCATTTACATCGATATAGTTTCTATCCTACCAAGTCTTCCGGGTTGGAATGTGGTCCAATCCATTTTGGGAAGGACTGGATTCCAAAAAATGGCGAATCAGAAGCACTGCTAAGTTCCTCCTGTAAGAATCCTTGAAGTCGATCGTGCTTCTCTGGCTCTGGCTGGCCTTGGAGATCACCATGGAGCAATCGCCCACCACCTCGACGCTCACGTCTCCACGAACAAACTGGCCGCGGAAGTTCTTGGTGCTTCCCATATGCCACACGAGATGGTAGTCGGTGTGGCAGAGGTTGAGCTTGATCTTCCGGCGGTCGACGGTGATGTCGAAAGCAACGTGTTCCTTCCTCAAGTGCCTCTCCATCTCCCTCGCCATCGCCAGATCTTGCGAGACGAGAGCTCCGTGAGTGAAGCGAGCCTGTTGCCTTGGCACGATCTTCCCATCGACCAGAGCCAGCGGCAAGCAAATCACGCCAATGTGCCGGTCGAGATCGTCGGGAGTGATGGTGTAATCGCTCGAAGTCCCTGACGTGAGCGAGAGTTTCCAGGATAGCTGGGGCTCCTCGGACTCTAGATCCCTGTATCTTTGCCACCCAACCACGCAGAAGCTCGTCTCGTTCACGTACTGCCAAGTTGCTGTCGATTTGCTTCCCACCGTGTTTGCTCCAGTGATTGCCAAGTTTTGGATCCCAGCGGCTTGGATCTCAGACGCCGGCGAAGCTTCTCCCGGGTCCGTGCTAGCGGGGCTTCCGGCCAAGAGCTCTTCTTTGATCTCCCAGAGTTTCTCGTAGATCACCTCGAAAGTCGGTCGGTTCTTCGGCGAAAAATCCCAGCACTGCGTGATGAGCTGCTTGAGCTTCTGGTGGCAAGACTCTGGAAGCGAAGGTCTCTCTCCACGCCGCAATCGCTCGATTCGTTCCTCCCTTGTTAGAGGGACCGTCAGCTCCAGAGGCTGTCCAGACACAATCTCGGAGCAAGCGATCCCAAAGCTGAAGACGTCCACGCTGAAGCCATAGCCGGGATCCTGGCCGGAGGTTATCCCAGCGAGAACTTCCGGGGCCATGTAGCTGACAGTTCCAACGGGACAAGTGTTGTCTCCCAGAGGATCAAAGCGTGGTTTTGAGTGGCCAAAGTCCGCCAAAGTGAGCTCCAGATACTTGACGTCGATCATGATGTTCTCGAGCTTGAGGTCTCGGTAGCAAACGTCTTTGCCGTGCAGGTAAACCATCGCACCAGCGATCTGGATCAGAAAGTCCACCGCTTGAAGTTGCGTGATCGGGCCGGAAGAGTGAAAGTATCTCTTTAGATCGCTGTCCTTCTCCTCCATGACGAGGAGTTTCTCCTTTGTTTCCGGAACCTCGGACTCTCCCAAGACTTGTATCACGTTCGGGTGGGACGGCTGGAAGTGCTGGAAGACCCCGGCCTCTCTGCAGTAGCGAAAACCATCGCCACACTTCTTCACTGCCACTGCCTGTCCCAGCCAGTTTCCTTTTTGCACGAGAGAATTCGCGTCACCCAACACGATTCCACTCAAGAGCAGCGACCTTGGATCGATGAAATAGATTCTCTCGGTGGAATCCAGCTTCTGCGAGAGAGCGTCGAGCATGATCTTCCTACCCCCTTGAACAAACAGCTTTAAGTTGTGCATGCGCGAGCTTCTCTCGGCCTCCACCTTGAACTTGAGTTCCATTCTATCGGTGCCAGCCGCCTCTTCCAGCAAGCATCTCAATACCTTCTTTTCAATCCCAACTTTCTCTTCCAGCCTCGCCAAAATCCGCCTCTTCTCAATCGTCAAATCCAGGCTTCCGAGCTGCCGCTGCACGATTTCCACATACCTCCACACAATCTCCGCGGCGCGCAAGAACCCATCTCGATTCTCAAGCTTGCGCAGCGACGAGAGCAGCCATGGCCCGCTGGAGTAGCTCCGGACCAGCCGCGCTGCCGATTCCACGGCTCCAACCAGCTGGGGGAGAAAAACCCTTACCCGCGGAGCGTCGAGCTCGGCGCCGAAGAAGCTGCTCCAGTAGCTGTGGAGGCTGAGGATCTCGCGGAAGAGGATCTCGAGGCCATCGCTCTGGCTGCAGTTGCATTGCACTCCCTGGCAAGCGAGAATTCCTCCCGCCGCGGCATCACGGAGCCCATTGCCCGGCATTTTCTAAAATTTTTCCTGCCTTTTACCCTTTTAGGGCAAGCTTGAAGCTTCTCTCGCAAGTTTGTACCGGGTCAACGGTTTTTTACCTTTTACCTTTACATGATCATCGATCGAATATTCCGCAACGTTCACCAAACGTTGACCAGCCATTGTGACCGTTTTGTTGTGAGTGGAGCAAAAACCTTAGCTTTCCTCTCCAGAGGGCCAAGCACATTCGAGCAGTAGCACAATCATATATAGGTTCCAAAGTCTGCACAGAAAATCTGCGTAATTTACCGAAAAATAAGAAATAATTGGTGCATATGTATATGATTTTGCAGCGCAGCAAGATCCAACGCTACCATAGCCAAGAAATTACTAAAACTCCATATAAACTCCAGATGTGGAGCTTCAAATATACTATTGGGAATCATCAGCATCCAATGAGCATGTGTGGGCCGCAGCAGCAGCAAACATCCAGTAACCAGCAGCAGCAAAGGGCAGCCAAGCTGCAAATTTGTCCCAGCAAATTTAGTCTCTGTAAAAGTTACTAGAAGACCAACAAGCAAAAAACATGATTTTCTTTTACCAGCCTTCTAGAAAGCCTTGGTCTCTATGAGAAGGGCCATAATACTGCGGAGGAGGAGCCACTGGAGGTGGCTGTGGATAGTAACCTGAACATAACAAACGAGTTACAACCTTCCAACGAAATGTCACCCAAAGATTCTCGCTGCAAAGCAAACCTTGAGGAGGATAGCCGTAAGGATAACTCTTATCAGCCATGGCCGAGCACTTGGCTCAAGAGCTCAGGAGCGACTCGAAAAACAGAAACCTTGTGTGGTGTTTGCCCCTTCTGGCAATCAAATTCAATCCAATCCCATCCAAAGTTACATATAGCTTGTTGACATATGGGCTCCAAAGCGAAAAGTGGGGCTAAGTGCTTTGAGGTAAGATGTCCTATAGAGCGAGGCACTTCTCTTGCAAAAAACCATTTTACAATTCTGCATTGTACAAAGCCTAAGTTTTAAATCTAGCTCTCGAGAGCATAGAGTTGCGTCATTAAGCAACACTGTGAAGTTACTCCGCAGCTCCCTCGTTTTGACAACTATACAGAGGTTGATATGCTTACACGCCTCTCTCCACTCGGGGAAAGCACGAAAGCGTCAAGTATACGAGTCCAGCCACGAAGAACCCCACAAACCATGCACCATCATACAGAGCTAGCAAAACCCTTGGAATCTTGAGCTTCAGTAGGCCGACGGTGCTCAGGAAGCCTGGAATGCAGGGTAGAATTCCAGCCGTAAGAGCAACCATTGCCGCGGGATTCACACCTTTGGAGTACCAGTACTTTCCTGTGTTGCTCGAGGAATAGAGGGAGTCAATATCCAACTTTCGTTGCCTGAGAATGTAGTAATCAGCAAGAAGTATACCTCCGATTGGGCCGAGAAGTGCCGAGTAGCCGACTAGCCAAGCGTATATGAAACTTTCGCTGGTCTGGAGGAGCTTCCACGGAAGGAAGCACACGCTTATGACTGCCACAACGAGTCCGCTGCTTCTGTAGGTGAAGCGCTTTGGATCGAGGTTGACGAGTGCGTTTGCCGGTGCCACGACGTTGGCTGCGATGTTGGTGGTGAGAGTGGCCAGGCTGAGTCCAATGAGTGAAACCACAGCAACGAGAAAGCCACCTCGTATCCGTGAAAGGAGCTCGATGGGGTTGGATATGGCGTGTCCGAATATGACTTCCGAAGCCGATGTCACTGCCAGGCCGACGAAAGAGAAGGCGGCCATGAAAAGAGGCAGGCTTGCCTGGCCAAGGATTTGATCAGCCTGCGAATAAGTGTACCGGCTAAAATCTGCAAGAAGAAAAAAGAAATGAGATGCAACCATGCGAGGAGAAAGAAAAGAAAGGTGGAACCATACCTGGGATATTCAAGCTCAAAGTCGACCACGTTCCAATGTTTGCTGTAAGCGAAGGCAAGAAAACTTGCCAGAACTTGCCTTCCTTGCGACCACCACGTCCAAATGCCGAAGAAGCAGCAAGCATTGCTCCAAATCCCCCAGCAGCGACGACGGCCCAAACAAGCAAGGCCACCGTGAGCACGATAAGCACCGGAGCGCTATACTTCTCCAGCTTCTTAATGCTCTCGATCCCATTCCACACGATCCACAGCTGCAGCAGCCAAAAGAGGAGAAAACACCCAAGCTCGGGAACAGAAGTCCCAAGCAAAGGCAAGCTCTCGGCCAAGTTGGAGAACCTGTTCTTCCCCAACATCACGTCCACAATCCTGAAAATCGCCTCACCACCTATCCAAGTCTCAATCCCGTACCACCCGCAAGCCACAAAGCCTCGCAGCAAAGCCGGGACGTTGGCTCCAAACACTCCGAAAGAAGCTCGCAACAAAACCGGGAAGGAAATCCCATACTTGGTCCCTGGATGCGCAGCTAAGACGAGAATGCAGTACGTGATCACATTCGCAAGCAAGACTGTGCCAATTCCTTGCCACCAAGCCATCCCGAGCTCCACCAAGCTTCCAGCGAGATAGTAATTTGGAACTCCCACGACCAAGCCCAGCCACAAGAATGTCATATCCCATGAAGATAAGAGCCTTCCCTCTTTGCACACTGGCGCCAAGTCCTGGCTTGCGAGCGAGGGATCTGGATTTGAGGGAAGAGTGGCACAGATCGGCTCCAAGAAGCAGTGCGATGCTGTGAATGCAGGCCTGTGTGGCATGCGGAGGAGATTGCGATGGAGCTCGCGCTCCTCATGCAGCTCCATGGTGTGGGATCTTCGGAAATGTGTAGTACCTTGTTGCCGCGAGGAGCTGAATGGCGCCGCTGCTAGAGGCGCAATAGCTCCAAGTATCCTTGAAGCTGCATTCATGGAGGTCGTGGCGTCCACGATTTTCAGTGAACCAAAATAAAAAAAGTCTCAATGAGTTTTGCCACTTTACATGCCATTCCATGGAATAATTCCCCATCAAGAATCCCTTAAAGCCCTTAAAGGAAACTGGGCATTCAAACATTTATTTAAGGGCTTTAGTAGGGTTTTTGAGGCATGGCGGCACGGTATCTCACTCGTGGTCTCCTGGAAAACAGCAGGTTTGTATGCAGCCGGCTGTGTTCCGGCGCTCATCCTTGTGTTGCAGTGTGTTGGCGGAGCTCTTGGAAGGAAAGGAGAGATTTTATCTGTTTGCGGGGACCTTTGATGTGTCGGAACAATTAGATCTGCGTCATTTGGCTTCTCTTCAGTTTGTAAAGTAAGCACATCCCAGGATTTCTTGCAAACTGTTTATGTTTTCCTTGCCTAGGGATGTGCAAACCGCTACTGCGGCACCTGTTGTCATTATCCTTTCCTGCACGGATTCAAAGCTTGGTATCACTCCAGCCAAGAGAAAGGCGTGTTTTGATGCACAGGCCAGGAGTGTTTTGGCCTGCGGCTTGGACAAGTCGCGCACTTTAATTCTCACTCCTCGCTCCATTTCAAGCAGGTAAAAACAGTGCTTTTGTCAGCTGAACTTTACCCTCTCATATCTTTACCCTCTCAGAATCTACAGGAGTGTTGTCGATGTTTCAAAGTACATGCTGATAAATGAGGTATACTGGCTTTGAAAGGGGACTTCTAAGCTTTGTATGGAAAAAATATTCAGGCTGTACGTGGAGCGAAGACGGACCTGGCAGCTCTTCAGCAGGAACTTGTTGAGGTTCTCTCTTTCGTGATTCTTTTTGGCTCTTGACGAAAATTTCCGGCAGGCCGTTTTCTGTCGCCTTCCCCAGACTCTGCTCGGCGAGACATTTACGAAGTGTCTCAGAATTGGCCAGGTAGTAAGCTACGGACGGACGTTCGAGTGCCTTGATTTAAAACCTGAATTCTGCAGGATAGATTTCCCAAAGCTGCTTTTGAACGTGCTAATTTACCAGAGCCAGCGGTTGTCCAACTCAAACCTCTCCCGATGCTACAGGTGAAACAAAAAGTTTGGCAATCTGTTCTCATATAAGTAATGTGGCAGGGCGAACTAGGCAATGCGCAGACTTTCAACAGCAACTGCCAATTGTTGTTTCTGTCGGACGATCCACCTATGATTGAAATGAAGGTATTTCTCTTGCTCCTGTCAAGGTTGATAGTTGTCCGTCTTCCTCATAGATACGCAAGCATGCCTTTAGTGGCGGAGGGAGCACGAAAGAGGAGCATGAGAAACATGGGGCCAATTTGGAGGTGATTGTGATTGAACTTTTGGACTCGGCTGCAAGCTTTTCTGTTCCAGGTTGATGTTTCTTACAAGTATCTGAGTTACTTCCTGGAGAGCGATAGCGAGTGGGCAAATATCAAAGGGGTAAGAGCTTCCATGTTTGATGCCACACACAAGTAACCAATTTGGTTGCAGGATTATGGCGGTGGGAAAATGTATACAGGTGCAGTAAAAGAACGGCTCGTATGTTTGGTGAAAGAAATGCTTGCAAGTCATAAAATGGCTTCCATGAGCATCTCGGACAAGGTGAGGCTTGTGTGCGCCTTGTAGTCGATAAATTACCTGTTGACTTACAGGACCTACCCTACTTATCACTCACTAATCGTCCGCTCATGCGTCACGTAATTCTAAAGCCATCAAGCAATATGATCGAGCGTGAAAGAATCTGTGAGGAGGAATGTTCTTGATTAAATGTTTGCATGTTTAAGATCATTAGCTGTTTATAATCTATAAATTGAAACACTAAGTAAATATTGTTTGTGAGCTTGATTATCATAAGGTTCAAATGCAAAGATAATTTGCTGCTGATGGTTTACCTCCAACCTATACTGCGAGACATTGCTTGTGTTAGGAAGTTGAAATTACAAAAGCTATCAGCTTTCTACCTGTCATAGAACAGCCCAGTGACTGTCATTAAGATGTTAAGCTTTCTTCTCCCCGAAATACAACATCTAAGACTCTGATCATCAAAAGGAAGACACAGATTAGCCCCTGGATCATTGTTTGAAGCAGCTGCTCGTGAGCTTTCTACGTGTTCTACAATTCTCTGCAAGTAAATAAATGATTAAATCATACATGACACGTAGATACCATATACTCAAATACACCTTCCACAGAAGATCCTGTTTCATAGCCTGGATTCCCTTGGTGAATTCCAGATTAGTCCATGTGTTCAGGACCTTTTTTCCAGCTTGGTAGACCACTAGAGGCTTGTGCTCGAATTTTTGCCTGAATAAGCTCCACCCATCCATAAGGATGTTACAGAAGACCTGCATAATAATGTGAGCTTTGGTCCCAAGAAAATGGCATCACCTTTGCTGAAGCCTCAGATGTTGCTACTTTCAGAGATTTCTTATCCAATTCCATGTCGATCTTCTGTTGGCCTTCGGGGAAACGCAGCTTCTGGAATAGGAGGAACAAACCGTCCTGTATTTCCTGGCTGATCTCACAATCATCGGAAAGATAATTCCATATTGCTTTCAAGGCATAAGCTTGTTTCGAATACTCAAACTGTCTAGGACGCTCATAGTCTCTACAAGAAGGAACATTATGAAAAGAGGCCCTCTGAACAAATTTGCGTCGTCATTACCTTAGAACAACAAGAATGATATGAGCGATTTTCGATAATTCCTCATCTCGTCGTTGTTTTTGCAACTTCGTCTCAGTAAGTGCATGCTCAATCTCCTTTCTTTGGGCGCAATTTTTGCCACGGTCTCTGCCCATCGCCACTAGTGCCGGAAACCAAATCAACGTAGTTACCCTAAAATTGGCCAACAAAACCCTAAGCCCTAATATTTATAAAGCCGAATGCGGTCTAGCCTTTATTTTTAATGCGGACTCAAAGTTCTTTTGATGAAGTTTAGGGCTTTTCTTTCATGGCGTCGAAATCTCCCGCCAAGAGGAGAGCTAGGGTTCCACAGCCTTTGGACGAGCGATCGCTGCCATCGGCGGAGCAGGCATGGCAGCTAATCGCGATTCTGGTAGTGGCCGCCATTGTCGCCGTCTCCACGCTCAAGATTTCCAGCTGGATCGGCGGCTTGTATCTCCCCTTCTGCGACACCAACAGCAGGTCTTTCGGTAAGGCTGAGAGTAATGTGATCCTCAATGATCGGATTTGCGCAGAGAATTGCATCCCGTGTCCCGAGCATGGGATTTGCAAGTACGGGCAGCTGGAATGTCTCACGGGATTTAGGCGGCGTGGGAAGCATTGCGTGGAGGATAGCTTGATCGAGAAGAGCGCTGAAACGCTCGTAAGTTCTCTTGCTCTTTTCCTTTGCAAGTAAAGTTTCCTCTTTTTCTTTCGAGCCAGGCTGGGCTGATGAAGGATCATATTTGTACCATCAATGGACAATCAGTCTGTGATGGAGGAACAACTGTATGGGTATGTTCTTCGTGATTTTTAGCTTGTTTGCTCCTCGCATTCGTTCTTCCATGGCTTTTTCTTTCATCTCTTTTCTCTTGCAGCTCTCGGAAGATGAAATTCTAGATGCTATGAAACCGGTAACATCGAAGCTGCAAGGTCCGACGCTGTGGCTGGTTCAGGAAAAAGCCATTGGAATTGCCTCGCATTGGCTGGAGACGAAGATTCGCGGGTCAGTAAGTGCGTGATCATTGTCAAGAGAGTTTAATTCTCAAATCCTTGTAATTTTGCAGCGTGCGTGTTTTCTGCTGTCCAGCTGATCTTGTGGATGCCTACAAGCCATTTGGATGCAGACTTCGAGAATGGTTGTTTAAGAACTTTTTGAAGCTGCTAATGACGATTCCAGTGGTATTGTCTACGCTTTTTTATAAGACCTCCTCAAGACATCCGTTCTCGTTTCTAGCTTTACGTATCGGCTTCCTTTGTCATCAAGTATTGGCGATACAAATCGAGACTAAACCGAGCGGAAGAGCTCTATGCACAGGTCACTGAACTTTTTCCCCGTAGTTGTTTCCAATCTACAAGTCTTACCAGGTTTGCGAAGCATTGGAGGCAAAAGCAACGCAGCTTGGCAGCAGTCCGGGAAACGAACGTTGGATTGTAGCTTCTCGGCTCCGTGACCATCTCCTCCGGCCAAGCGAGAGAAGGAACCGTGCGTTGTGGCTCGAGGTAGACAAAACGAAAAAAATAAAGACCATCTCTCTTATCAAACTTCGCTCGCAGGTGGAGCGCCTGGTCCTCGAGGATTCACGGATTGACCAGCATCCAAAGCTCGTCAGGGGCGAGTCACGGATCGTCTGGGAGTGGCAAAGTAAGCTCTCGAGAACTCTTTCTTCTTTCGCTTCGCTACGACTTTAGAGTTTAAACTCTTACAAGTTTTTTGCTTCCAGTCGAAGGCTCCTTGAGCCCAGCCACGATCCAAGGCAAAGCTCGCTCGAGAATAGCGTCGCCATCTTCGTCCCCACCAGGGAGCTTCGAAAGATTCGACTACTTTCCCTCGGGCCCGACCGGCAACGCAAAGATGAAAGAGGAGGGCGTTTTTTGAGAGATACTGTATAGAAATGGACGGCCACTTGAAAGATTCCGCGTTAGGGTTTTTGCCATGGCGGTGATCGAGGACGAATTTTTGGAGCTGCGCCTTCTGCGAGAGGCGTTCCCTCAGCTGTCGCTCAAATCGATCGTCGCGGCGTACAATGCCGCGGATGGAAGCGTGAATGCCGCCGCGGGGGCGCTGGAGCAGCAAATCTCAGGTAGCAGCGAAGGAAATGGGGCATCTCCAGTAGCTCACGGGAAATGCGACGAGGTTTTGAGCTCGGGCCAGGTTTGCGACGACGATCACGAAGGTTCTCCTAGAAATTTGCTAGGAAGGTCTCGTTCCAGGAAATGGACTACTGTGGCCCGCTCGGGCACCGTTTCCAGTGTCCGAGCTTGCTCCGACACTGGAAAGAAACGCAAGAGAAGGCATCAGAAGAAGAAGATGATGAATGGGCTTGAAGAGCTCTCGCCAAAGGAAGAAGAAGTTCCAAAGAACGACAACAAAGAGCTTGAAGAATTTCTTCTTTCTATGCTAAGTGGCGACCTTGGAATGGACGTTGTTCGCGATGTTATATGTAAGTACGATTATTTTTCTGTTACTGCTAGATTTTATTTTAATTCTTTCTTGTCTTGTTCCAGACGAGTGTGAGGGCGATCCACAGAGAGTACGTGACTAAAATTCATATGATTGTTTAGTTCTTCTCGCTTTTGTATGCCTGCGTTTGCATGATTTATTCTTGCATTTACGTGTTACAGTTACTGGCAGAGTCTGGATTCTCTACTGGCGATTATGTCGAGCGAGGCTACCGCCAACGAGCGGGAGGTGGAAGAACGAAACGATGTTCTTGCTCTCTGGGAAGCCTTTCCTGACAAGTATCCGGAGGACGTTGAAAGAATTTACAAGGTTTTTTTTGTGAAGTTTGTTGTTGGTCACGGACCTAATGTTTTTCTCCAGGAGCACGGAAGTCAATTGGAATTGGCCACAAACAAGTTGCTCGATGTAAACCAGCTCACGAAAGGAAAGGAGTCGTCTTACCAAGTGCTTGCGACTGAAGTTTTATGCTCGGTATTGGCATTTTTTGTTCTTAATGTTGTCATTACATTTTCTTTTCGGCAGGAGGTTTTAGAAAAACTAAAATCCTCTTTCCCGAGTGTTGACCCGAGGACACTCGAAGAGGTCTTAAAAACAACGGAGAATGATTTCAGGTACTTGTATGTGAAGAACTGTTGCAAGAAAAAAACAAAATGTATTATGCAGCGCGGCAATGAACTATCTGTCCGAGGCGGGCCTGACGCCAATGAAAGAGGTCGCTCAAGAGTTCCTCAAAAAAGTTTTCAAGCCTCCCGATCCACGGATCGAGAAAGAATCCGATTGGACAGAAGTTAAAGTCAAGCCCAAGGCACCAAGAAGGCCGTCGAAGATCGATGACAAAATTTCAAAGGGTACGCCTCGTTGTGTTTTGTGAGAGGACTGACACACTGATTAATCGAAGATGGACGGGACAACTTGGAGCCTGAGCACGCAAGCGCAGTCGAATACTGGTCGATAATGAAGGATTGCTTCTTAAAGGTCTGTCTCATGCAATGCTTGTGCAAATGGCATAGGATCACCTTTGTTTTCCAGGCTACAGCAGCTTATTCAAGCGGTCACCGGAGCCTAGCAAGTCATCTCTCGGAGAAGGTAACCAAGTTTTTGAGAAAACATCTCAAGCGTTTTTCCTTTGTTTTCATTTTCTGGTTTTCCGTTTACTGTTTTCTCTATTACACACTTTTGCAGGGTCGGAAGTACAGGCAGCTGGCTTTGCAGGCGAGAGACAGAGAAAGCAAACGAATTTTTCGTACCAAGTAATCCACTCTCTAGTCTTCCGAGTTTCTCTCGACTAAATGGTCCAAACCCATGCAGGAACAATGGCTATAACAACAACATAACGATTGATTTACACGCGCAACACGTAGACGAAGCACTTCGCTTGTTTAAGCTCCACTTGGACGCTCTCCAAGCCATAACTTGTAAGCTAGATCTTCTTTTTGTCCTTTTTCCTCCAATCCTCGTGTTTGATCTGGAGCTGATAGTCGTGTGTTCTTGCTTTCTCCACAGCTGTGCACACGCTCACTGTGATCACTGGCAGTGGCAATCACGCAGCAAATGGGAAGCCAAAGTTAAAGCCAGCTGTGAGTTTTTGTTTGCTTGTTTCCAGTTGATCGCAAAGATGTTCTACTCGGTTTTTTTTTTTGTTCCAGATAATCGCTTACATGAATCGAAAGGGACTGAAATGGTCGGAAGTAAATCCCGGGTGTTTGATCCTTGATCTCCACACGTGAAAGCTTTTTAAACTAACAGTGTAAAGGACCGTTATAATTTATGTTTTACCTTTTATTTCTTAGGGTTTAGAGGAAGCTTTGAGCGGCGAGAGCGGCGAGAGCGGCGACGAGCGTGCTCCTCCCCGCTGCGCCAATGTAGATTCAATCGACTGGCACTGGCGGATGCGCTGAATCGTGATGGTGTAATGCAGGAAAGATCTGGCGAGCGAGGCGCGAGGAGATTAGGGCCGAGGGCTGGAGAGGCGGAGGAGGAATGGCTTCGGCGCTGGAAACGGCGTGGCTGGTATGTCGGTCTTGCTTGTTGTGGAGATATTTCGCGTTTCTCTGTGCCTCATTTCACAATCGAGATGCATGCTGCCTCTAATGCCGCGCATCCAGTTCCGAGGCACAGCACATTGAATTACTCGCGAGATTTCGTTTCAAGTCGCGATGCTTGCACAGCTGACTTGATTGTTGCTCGTGAACATCTTCTCTTCTTTTTTTTGTCTTGGTTTTTTGAGAGTTGTGTTCTTCCGGCTATTTATCTTTCGCTTTGTATCGTACTTTTTTGCAGTACTTGATCAACAACTTCAGTGATTTTCAGCTAGCATCACTGGGCAGCTTTATCATTCATGAGAGTGTTTTTTTCCTGTCCGGGATTCCCTACCTTATGATGGAGAAGTGGGGGATGACGAAGTATAAGATCCAGGTACGAGGACTCTTTCTCTTTGTTTTCCTTTCTTTTTCGATGAGAGCTTGTTCTAACGATAGCGAGCAGGGCAAGATGAACACACCGGCAGCGCAGGAGAAGTGCATCTTGCGTTTGTTGTTGTACCACACCTGCGTCAATCTGCCGCTCATGGTTGTTTCCTATCCAGCGTTCAAATACATGGGCTTCAGAAGTACATTGCCCTTTCCTTCATGGTAAGCCACGTTTTGTTTCGTTGACGAGTCTGGTTTGATGGACGCTGGTTTTGCAGGAAGACCGTTCTTTTCCAAATTGTTTCGTACTTCATTCTCGAAGACTTCATCTTCTACTGGGGCCATCGGGTCCTGCACACGAAATGGCTTTATAAGCACGTTCACAGCGTTCATCACGAGTGAGTGACCTTGTTTCTCGTCTTTCAGGCATGACAATGGTACATTTCTGGGCTTACAGATATGCCACTCCCTTTGGTTTGACATCGGAGTATGCTCATCCAGCAGAAATTCTCTTTCTCGGTTTTGCGACGATTTTTGGCCCCGCTATTACGGGACCGCATTTGATAACGCTGTGGTTGTGGATGAGCGTAAGAGTACTCGAGACGGTTGAAGCTCACTGCGGCTATGACTTCCCGTGGAGCCTTTCGAGATTTCTTCCAATCTACGGAGGGTATGTCGGGTCTAGCTTTTGTTTTTGTTCACTTCTTTTCGGAATGGTCAATGATATACCTATATCTTCTCGTAGAGCGGACTTTCACGATTATCATCATCGGCTGCTTTTCACGAAATCCGGAAACTACGCATCGACTTTCACGTACATGGATTGGTAAGCTGTAGCATTCTTCTTGGTGGCGTGGCTGACCGAGTTTTTGCAGGATATTCGGGACTGACAAGGGGTACCGTAAATTGAAAGCATTGAAATGCGAGGACGCAAAGAAAGTTGAGTGATCTTATGTTCATATCTGAAAAATAATGTTTTTTTTCTCTTCTTTCTACTTCGTCTCCGAGTAAGTTTGTACTTCTCTTCAGTCTAATCGCTTGCAAGTGTGAGATTCATTCAAGCAGATCCTACAGGAACCGCCTCCAACAATCTCGAGAAGTAGAACCTGGTGGCAGTCATGTCTCGGTTACGAACGATCCAGCCAGCCGCTCTCAAGGCGGCCTCGACGTCCTCCTCGGCATGCAAGTAAGCTCTGGTAGCTTTCGAAGGCCCGGGAAAGAGCTCCCCGATTCGCTTGAGCAGGGAGTAGTACCACGTCTTCGGCGCAAAGCTGATGATCAACCGGCTCTCGGCCAGGGACGCGAGGTGGCGGATCATCCCGTCGGCTTTGTCCTGGGGATAGTGGATGAGAACGTCGAGGCAGGCAACGGTGTGGTACTTCCCACTCAGGCTCTCCAGATCCTGGGCAGAAAACTTTGGCAGCTGCAATGCTGGATCCGACTTGAGCGCCTCTCGAGCTCGTCTCTCGGCTTCGGCAACCATGGACGAGGATATGTCACTGGCGAAGACGGTGGCTCCTCGCAGAGCTAGAGGGATGGCCAGGCTTCCAGTTCCACAGCCAGCGTCGCAGAAGGAAAGGCCTTGGATCGATCCATCTCGGGCGAGCAGCGACAGGGTCTTCTCCACGGTCTGTGCGTGGCCTTGGCGGATATCCAGCTGGACGGAGTTCACGTCCTCGGCCTCGCCATAGATGCGCTTCCACCGCTCGAATCCGGCAGTGTTGAAGTAGTCCTTGACAACGAGCTTCTCGTCCCCGCCAGCCACGCTCGCCGCCTGCCGCTGCCTCCGCCGCTCGGGATCCGCCAGGGACAGCGTCGCCGCCAGCGCGGCTATCACTCCGCCACTCACCAGTGCGAAGCTCAGGCTGCTGGGCTCCTCCAGTGACGCATTGCAGATCGATCGCCCTCGGTGGAGGCGCCGGGGAGGCGGCGATTGGGCGGCGGTGCGGGCGGCGAATGGCGGAGCTGGGAGGAGCGAGGAGGAGAACGCCATAGCTGTGGATGGAGGTTTTGATGTGGCCGACACGTGGATATGACGTGGTTGCCACGGCTGCTTATCTTGGTCTTCCACGTGGCTGGCCCTCGTTTCATAAACCCTAATTACTCTATAGCCCTAGATTCTTCTCTCTTCCTTCGTCTCGCGCGGTCGAGGCGGTGAATTCTCCATTAGCGCTGCTGTGGTGGGTTAGGGTTTGGATGTGGCGGTGGGGCAGAGAATGGGGCTCTAGAAACTAGGATTTGGCGTCCGCGATGGCCGCGATTGGAGCTCCGATTGTGTGCGCGGGCAAGGCGACTGGATCGAGCTTTGGAGCGTCATGCAAGTGCCAATTCTCGCCGGTGACACTTGTGGCAAGGCGAAATCTCACTGTTCAGTCCCGGGGAATGTTTCTTCACAGCTCGCAGCTAAGCTTGTCTTCGCGCTCTAGATTTTTCAATGGAGGTTTGTTTGCTTGGTAGAAAAAAATTCTTCCACTCTAAATTTTCTTGATTTTCTCCAGGAAATGGAATTTCGCTGCTGGCAGCAGTGGTGGCTTCGTCGAGCCGGGATGGACAAGGGGCAATGGGGGCTCGAATGAACATTTTTGAGCGAGTTATTAGAGTAGTCCGGGTATGCAATGGAAAAACCAATTTTTTTTTAGCTTTGTCTAGACGCTGATGAGTTTTCTTTTCAAGCCAAGTCTTACGTAAATGCTGCGGTAAGTGCTGCCGAGGATCCAGAAAAGCTGCTTGATCAGACAGTGCTCGAGATGAATGAGGATCTCATCAAAATGCGTCAGGCATCTGCCCAGGTTTGAAGCCTTCTAGTTTTTGTTTTATTGAATCGCAACTTACATCTTCAATAACTTCTTTGAAGGTATTAGCATCTCAGAAACAACTAGAGAACAAGTATAGGCAGGCCGAAGAGAACTCTCAAAGCTGGTATACATGTTCTCACTCTCTCTAAGCTGGTGCTAAATTATTGATTTATAGGTATAAAAGAGCAAAACTGGCACTGGAAAAGGGAGACGAAGTTCTTGCCCGAGAAGCCTTGAAGAGGAGAAAAGATTACGAGGTTCATAGCTTTTCTTTTAGCCACATTCGAGCTTTTGCTTCAATGATTTGTCTGTCCGGCAGGAAAATGCTAAGGCGCTGAGGACGCAGCTTGACCAACAAAAGTCCGTCGTGGAGAAGTTGATATCCAGCACCAGAGTACAGTGTTTTGTTGTCGGTGAATTTCGTGCTTAAGCGCTTGTGTTACACGTGCAGCTTCTCGAGAGCAAGATTCAAGAGGCCAGGTCGAAAAAGGATACTCTGAAAGCCAGAGCGCAATCTGCAAGGTGTGTTTTGCCGCATCCATTATTGATACAGTCAGCTAAACTATTCGGTGAACAGAACGTCGCAAAAGGTCAATGAGATGCTGGGAAACATCAACACGAGCAGTGCTTTGGCAGCCTTTGAAAAAATGGAAGAGAAAGGTAATCTTCAACTACGTGGACAATCATCACTATTTCTCGCGCTAATGTTTTGTTTCTCTTCTCCAGTGACCGCCCTGGAAGCGGAAGCCGACTCATTGAACGAGCTCAACACGGACGAGCTCGCTGGAAAGGTATGCTTAGAGAATGGTTCTTCTTTCTTAAGTAATTTTTTCACGCGATATTGTCATTGTCCTTGAAACAGTTTGCTCTACTGGAGAGCGACAGTGTTGATGACGACCTCGCGGCGCTAAAGCAAGAGATGCTTGGTACTTCCAAGGTATGTGTCTCTCACACTCTCTCTCTTTCACATTTTCGTGGGTCTAATCTAAAGCTTTCCTACTGGTCTCACTCATTCAGAAAGCTGGCGAGCTCCCGGCTGGGCGATCCCCCGTTGGCAGCAACGCATTCGCAGACGTCGAGATCGAAAAGGAGCTAAACGAATTGCGAAGAAAAACTAGAGAGCTATAAGGTCCGGCGGGGTGGTTTTTCCTTTAATAATAACATCTCTATCGCAGCTGCGCAAAGCACAGTGTTGAAGAGACGCGAATCCGGCAAAGAAAAGCGTTTCTTTTTTCTAGCAGGGATTTTGGAGGGAGGAGGATTTTCATTGCCGAGGATGGCCTGGACACCATCACGAGTAGCTCATGACAAGTTCTTGGGAAATGCTAGTGCCGTGTACGGTAGCGAATTCCATCCCGGAATTTGGGTGCCTGGGATTGCTGGATCGTTAACCACGTGGCAGGGGAACAAAATCTAACAGGCACGCCGATTCCGACAAGAATAATCAGCCAAAATGCCTTTAGCGCAGAGGCCTGGGTTCGATTCCCGAGACCGACGACCTCTCACTCTCACGTTTGAAATAGTCTATACTTTTCTTTCTTATGATTTTTCTTTGTCACGTCTGTGAGGGAGGGAAGCGATGGAGGGATCGGCCGCGCCTCGCCTATCGATAGCGGCTAGCCCTTTCTGGAATCCGTCAACAGGCGTTGCGGCACCACCGCGGCGCTGGAATCTCTCTCGAGTCAACCGATTCGCGTGGCAAGAACAGGTAAACGCAATGCCCGTCTTGTTTGGCGGACGCAGCAGCTCACCGCGATAGTCCCAGTGCTTTCCAGGTCAAGATCCACGAATGCGGTGTGTTCTTCGAGGCGCCGGGCAGAGATTTCGGGATTCTTGATCGATTAGGAGCTGGAAGCGGTAGAATAGGGGCCGGGATTGCGGGAAAGAGTGGAATATGGGGAGAAAGATCGCTCAGGGTCTAGCGTTCGTGATATTTCTATGGCTTGCATTGGCGAGAGCTCAGCAGTTTGGTGGTTTGGCTCCACCGTTGCCGTCTGTGATTCCTCCGCCTTTCGACCCTGGATCTCCCTTCTCGCCAGAGCTCCAAGCTAGAGCCCTTCTCAGAAATAGGACACAGCAGCTCACAGACGAAGTGGCATCGAAGTTTAGCTTTTGCATCGTCAATGGGTGAGTGGCGCTTTTTTTTTTCCCCTCTCATTTCTTTCCATCCTTCTAACTTTCCTTTGGAATGCTGTGGATGCAGTAACGAAGATAGAGATTTAGCTTTCGACTACACAGACGATTCCTTTATCAGAGACTGCGCAAACGGTAAAGCAAATGCCTGCTTTCCTGGGATAGAATTCCTGACTTTACTTTTATTACAGGTGGGAGTCTCTTGACCCGGCTCTGCGGCAGGGCGGAGATTGAGTTGTATTTTAAATCGCTCCAAAGCACCGGTCACGCTGTCGAACAAAACTTGAACTGCAATGTCTCGAATTGGTCGGATGGGTGCGAGGCTGGATGGGCCAGTAGCGTGTCCCAAACCGAAATCCCAGACGAGATTTCGGTTCGGAACTTAAACCCTCAGCCGTGCTGCGATGGATTCTTCTGTCCTCGAGGACTCAGCTGCATGATTCGTACGTTCGTTTAGTTACTTGAGAAGACGTTTTAACGTGGTTTTGCGCAGCTTGCCCGTTGGGAGCTTATTGTCCAAGAGCGATTTTCAACGAGACCAGCGGCAACTGTGATCCGTAAGATATGCTTTCGACGTTCTTTATCTATCACATTCCCCTGTTCTATAGATATGGTTATGGTCGAAGTCCTAATGTCGTGTGTGGAGGAGCGGATAGATGGGCCGATGTAACCAGTTCTCCCGGAGTATACTGTGAGCCGGGTCAATATTGTCCTTCACCTGTATTGACGCAGTCATGCACAAGCGGGTAACGCCTCCACGTTTTTTTCAACTCGAATCTAATGTTTGCTGTTTTTTCGCAGGAACTACTGTAGGGAAGGCGCCACTTCTCCAAAACGTAAGTTTGACTCTTTTTTTGTGTTTTTCCTTCCTTGATTGTCATTAACGATTTTAGTACCTCAGGATGTTACAAGTTTACGTCCTGCAAGACGGGATCGGACCGCCAAAATTTACGCGTCTATGGCGCATTGTTTATAGTAAGCAACTTTTTTCGTCCCGATAGGATTTTCTGACTCTTGGCAACTTAACTGCAGACTATCCTTGCCATGTCGCTGGTTCTCGTTTACAGTTGCTCGGACCAAGTCATGAACTTTCGAGATAAACGAAAGTCTAAAGCTCGTGAGAAAGCTGCACGCCAAGCTCGAGAGCATGTCTCTGCGATGGAGCGCTGGAAAGTTACGAAAGAAGTATCCAAGAGAGCCAAGACATTCAGTTCCAAGTTCAGCAGAACGTTCTCGCGGAAGCGAGTGAAAAGTTCGGAAGAGATACAGGAGCTGACGCCTATGGGGTTTTCCAAGTCCCATGACCAGGAACACGTAGTAATGCAGGCAAGTCCCACGGGCACTCATCCTCCACAGCTAGCAATGCCTCCAATGGCGTACGCTGCTAAACATGGCGGGGTACACATGGACAAGAGCAGCGATACTGAGAGCCAGATTTTCGGCTACGCTTTCAGGCAGATTGAGCAGGAGAAAGCAACCGACTTCATCAAAGAGTCCACCGCTAACATGGTAGCCGACGGCGGCAGGAAGCGGCCACTCATAGAACTTCGATTTGAGAATCTTACGATGGTTCTCAAGAAAACCGGGAAGAGGATTTTGTCGAATGTTACTGGAAAGCTGACGCCTGGAGACATCACGGCAATCATGGGACCATCCGGAGCAGGGAAGACAACATTTTTAAATGCGGTCGCTGGCAAAGCCGCAAGTGAGTGTAACACCACCGGGCACATGTACATTAATGGGAAGCAGGGGTCGATACGATCGTACAGGAAAATCATTGGATTCGTCCCTCAAGATGATATTGTTCATGGAAGTTTGACGGTGGAAGAGAATCTCGTCTTTAGCTCGAAATACAGGTTCGTTACTTTGTCTCTTTTGTTGTCGCTACTCTTGTCTAACTGTAAGTTTGTTGCAGGCTCAGTGTTGATTTGCCCAAACGTGAGCGAGTTCTACTAGTCGAAAGAATTATTTCTTCACTGGGGCTGGGTCCGATTCGAGATTCCTTGGTTGGCACTGTTGAAAAGCGTGGAATCTCTGGAGGACAAAGGAAAAGAGTCAATGTGGGACTCGAGATGGTCATGGAGCCTTCACTTCTAATCCTCGACGAGCCTACTTCTGGATTGGACAGTACATCCTCACGGTTGGTGGTACAAGCTTTGCGAAGAGAAGCTATGTTAGGAGTCAATGTGGTGGTGGTTCTTCATCAGCCGAGGTACAGAAGTTGCTTTCGTGATTCCGATTCAAAGGATTTAACTGTTTTTTTTTGCAGTTATGGACTGTTCATGATGTTCGACTACGTGATGTTTTTGGCTAAAGGTGGTCGGACCGCTTACTTGGGGCCAGTTGCCGATGTTGAGAGCTACTTCATATCTCTTGGGGTTGTTGTTCCAGAACGGATTAATCCTCCAGATCACTACATGGATCTTCTCGAAGGGGTAGTGAAGCCTGAAGGGAACCCCACGTTTGACCCTTCGATGCTCCCAATTATTTGGATGCAACACGAGGGGCATCCAATACCTGACGAACTTAAAGAGATGGCCGCTGTTGCTGAAAGTGACTTCAGTATCGTTTCTCGCAAGAAGCTGGAACAGACGAAAACTTTCAGAGAGGAAGCTTGGCAAGAGCTGAAGGAACCAGTAGTCGTGTGGTGGGATGGAATTCGGCATGCTGTCTTCTCGGTTCCGGATATAACAGGTCGAAAGATACCTGGTTTCTTTTCGCAGTTCAGCCTCATCTTGGGAAGGTTTGTAGCACTGCTGGTTTTCGTTTCATTCGGTTACTTAATGTTTTTTTTTTCTCTGCTGTAATCAGAGTATCCAAGCAGCGGTTCCGAGAAGCTAGACTTTTGGTCCAAGATTACATTATCTTGTTTCTTGCCGGTATTTGCGTGGGGCTACTCGCAGACGCCAAAGACCAAGCTCTAGGGGCAAACGGATATCCTTATTCTATCATTGCTCTCTGTAAGTGCTTGGAAAGCTTAAGTTTTGTCTCCAACTTACGCTTTGTTTTCGTGCCGTGCACAGCTCTCCTGTGTATGATATCAGCTCTTAGAACGTTCTCCGCCGATAAACTCCAGTTCTGGCGGGAGAGTGCTTCCGGGATAAACCGGGTAGCGTTTTTTCTTGCCAAGGATACCGTGGATCACTTCAACACAGTCGTCAAGCCATTCGTCTATTTATCCATGTTTTATTTCTTCTGCAACCCGAGGTCAACATTCATTTCCAACTACATCATCACCTTGGCATTTATTTACTGCATCACTGGGATCGCATACGTCTTTGCGATTCTCATGCAACCATCGACAGCTCAACTGGTAAGAGTTAACTAGTCCGTATATGTCCTTTTCTTTCTCGGCTTGCTTACACCGCTTTTCTGCTGCAGTGCTGCGTGTTCTTCCCAGTTGTATCAACGCTGGTAGCCACAAGAACAGGCGCAACAGGAATCCTTAAAGTTCTCATCCAAGGCAGCTATGCCCGGTGGGCGCTCGAGGCGTACGTTGTTGCAAACGCACAAAGGTACGATTGGAGAGTTCTAAGTATCTTTGGATTTAACCCGTGCGAAAACATCAGGTACTCTGGAGTATGGCTGATAACTCGATGCGGAGCTCTGGCGAGATCAGGGTACGACCTCAATCACTTCAACCTCTGCGTGGCCGTGCTCATCGCATACGGCATTGGAGCGCGAGCGGTGGCACTTCTCAGCTTGTTCTTCAGCAACAGAAAGAAGCAGCGGTGATGATCCCAGGGATTTTTCTTGTCTCCTTTTTTCCACACTTTGGATCGTCCTCCCTGCGATGGAGTGAGCCAGTGCTCCTCCATCCCCTTTTCCAAAATGTACAGACATATATACAGTCAAGAGTTTTATAAACAATAACAACAGACAGATCTTATCCCGATATTAAAGGTGAATGCTACAAATACACACATGCACAAAACGCGAAAACGGATATACCATCTTTGAAACAACTGAAATATAGGGGATAAAACCAAAGAATATTCGATTTTTTTCAAAAACCTGCGAACCGTTGTTCTTCGAGAGATTGGAGCAGCGAAGAGATGGCGAGGAGGCGAGTAGGAGGAGGAAAGTTGGCGGAGGCGCAGGTGGTGAGGGAGACGGTGATGGCGCTCAAATCCAAGAAGGGTTGCACGCCCGGCGGGGTTGCGAGGCGGGTGAGGCGAAAGTTTGGACCCAAGCTGCCGCCCAAGTTCAAGTTCGTCATCTGCCGGACGATGTTTGGGCTTGCTCAGGGCGGGCGCGTGGAGCGAGTGCGGGGCAGGTACAGGTTCAAGCGCAAGAAAAAGACTTTCTTTTCTGCGACAAGGAGATCCAAATCGTCGTCCCGCAGCCGTTCCCGACTATCGACCCGCCGTTCGCGCAGGCGGACGAGAAAGAGAAGAAGGCGTTGAATGTACTTCACTCCTTTTTCTTGGTATTTGCGGAAGTATCGAAAAACCATCGTAGAGTTATCACCATGAATGGACCTCAGTTCTAGAATTACTCTTGTTTTTATTTAGTCCTTTACAAGCATGCCGCAGCCTTCAAAGTTGGAGCTTGATTACAACTTCGATTCAAATAGAAACTTTGGGCGAAAAAAATGGAAAATTTGAGCATTTTCTAAAAAAATGCGCAGCCGGGGAATCGAACCCCGGTCAGTACCGTGGGAGGGTACTATGATACCACTACACCAGCTGCGCTGGTACACGTAACACACCTCAAGCCCATACTGTCTATTGAGTCGTTTCGCGCCTTTTCTTGCCCTAAACCCTTGATGAAGAAGGGAAAAGACGCCGCGCCGGCGCTGGATCTGCCGGTGGCGGTGGAGAATGCGGACACGGGCGAGGACTGGCGCATCAAGCTCAGGCGATCCATCGACATTTACAAGCCTGTAAGGTTTGCTTCGCCCATCGCGCTCTCGCCATGCCTCTCTTTTCTTTGCTTCTTCTCCATTGCGCTGCCTCTCTCGCAGATGGTCGTGAGCTTCGTGGCGTCCTGGTGTAACAAGTGCAAGGAGATCAACCCGCAATTCGACGAGATCTCGAAGAAGCACCCGGGGATGTACTTCGTGAGGATCGACGTCGACATGCTCCCGGTAAGAACCAAGATCTTGATCTTGATCAAGCGCGGCGAAGAACTCACGCTGGATTTCTTGTGGGTTTTCTTGGAGTGAATCGCAGGACGTGACCGCGCAGTGGGGTGTCAAGTCCGTTCCAACGTTCGTGTTCATCAGGGGTGGACGGCAAATCGACGTGGTTGTCGGGTCCAACAAGGAGGAAGTCGATAGTAAGGCTGCGACTTATGCCCTTCCTCCTAAACCATCCCCGGAATAAGATCACAGGAAGAGCTCTTGGTAGAACATCCCCAGAACTAAGTCTGGTTCTTTCCTTCCAGATCGTGTTGACAAGCTCCAATTGCAATTGATCAAACGCACAACGCTCAGAAAGAAGAGATCCAGGTCTAGCGCTTTTTTGTAAATCTTAGAGAAGAGAAGAGACAACGAAGAGGTCTCATGAAGCTTTCCATAGCCATGAATGCTCTATAGACTCAAAAGAGACAAGATTCACGGATCGTCCGCTCTCACCTGCGAGAAATTGGACGGATCTAAGATTCCACGCGCACGAATTAACCTCGCATCTACCGGCAAGGCCACGACACCACCATTCCATCGCTCCTCAGTGATGGTGTCAGGGAGAAATTCCAAATTGCCCTAGAATTGCCAGAGGAGAGAGACGAAATCCTGGCCGCTGGTTCGCAACAGCTCTTTGGCTTCCTTTATTTGTCCGCACTTTCTTTTTGCGCCATTGGAAGCGCTACAACAGGGGCTAGACGTTCCCCTGGCTGCCATGCATTTGCCACGCTACGTGTGGAAGCGCTAAGCCCGGTCGCTCGCCCCCGGCCGCCAGCGCTAGTGGAGATCAAGTGGGCATCTTTTTCCTTTCCTTGCGTGTTCTTGTGGATCACTAAGGATCGATCAAGATCCACATTGCGATGATCGCGGCGAGAAATCGCGCCCCCCGGCGCTCAGACCATGGCCGCTGAGCGATCCATCTCGGCGCTGCCACTGCCAGAGGTAAGCTCGCCTCGCCCTTCCTTGTCTAGGGCGCTGGTGCTAAATCCACTTCTTTTTTCTAGGGTTCTTGAGATCCAGGAGCTGGGAGTGGAAGATCGTTTCTCCCATGGGCTGCAGTTCCTCCAAGAATGGCAGCGCTCCTAGGGCGGATCAAGGCTGGAATCTCCCGCTGGTGAGGAGCCTGTCGCGCAGCTGGTCGATGCCGCCCGTGTCGTCCATGTCCTTCTCCAATTGTTCCTCCGATCATCGCCAGTCCAGCTATGGCGCCGCCTTGCATCGCTACGAGAGATCGGCCGATTTCTCGCAAGAAATCGAGGAGGAAGAAGAGGGAGTAGAGGATCCGGGGGAGGTGATCAATCCCAGCAAGCCCAGGGTCCGGGAGAGCGATTCGTGGGAGATTGTGGACGAGACGGCGCTGTGCTCGAGCTCCATCGCCAAGCCCCGGAAGAGAGCTCGGACTTACAGCAAATCGGTGTCGCTGCCACACTCCTCCCTGTCGCGATCGAGCGAATTCCAGGGGCTTGTCGCGGGATTGCCGCTGGTGCTGGAGGAGAAATCGCCCAACGCGAGCCTCCTCCGCAAATCCGGCGAGAAGATTGGAAGGTCGCCGCCGCTGCTATCGCCAAGCGTGCTGTCGCCAGGCGTGAAGAAGGGGCTCTTCTACGGTGCCTGGCTTGCGGAGGGCGACAAGGAATCGCCCAGGAGCGTGGAGGACTGGCAAAGCAAGGGAGAGATCGCGGGCTCCTCGCCCCCATCGTCGCTGGAAGATTGGTACATCGTCGGGCCGAGAAAGATGGAGAGATTGGAGGCGATCGTCGCCAAGAGCACTGGTAGTGGCGGTGGCAATTGCTTGCGAGACAAGACCAACTTGGCGGATCGCCATTGTGATCTCTCCCATCTCCGCGATTTCAAGCAGCGGCGGGAGGAAGAGCTCCTGGAGCGATTCGATCGCAAGTGCCCTCCGGGCGGGGAGAATCGCGTGGTGCTCTACGTGACGAGCCTCCAGGGGATCCGCAAGACCCACGAGCTGTGCCGGGCGGTGAGGACGATCCTGGAGGTGAATTTCGCGCGGATCGACGAGCGGGACGTGGCGATGCACGCCGAGTTCCGGCGCGAGCTGCGCGATCTGGTGGGCGCCGCGCCGGTGCCTCGCCTGTTCATCAAGGGGCGCCACATCGGTGGCGGCGAGGAGGTGATGGCGCTCAACGAGAGCGGAGTCCTGCGCGAGCTCCTGGAAGGGATCCCCAAGGAGAGGGTCAAGAGATCTTGCGAGGGGTGCGGCGGCGCGCGATTCATCCCGTGCGTCGAGTGTGGCGGGAGCTGCAAGCTCCTGGTGGCCGGTGGCGGTGGCGATGGTGGCGGGCAGGGGATCGTGCGCTGCTGGGATTGCAATGAAAACGGTCTCGTGAGATGTCCAATCTGTTACTGATCGGTGCCAGCGATCGATCAATCGATAGCGAATTTGGGGAATCTCTCTCGCGATTGCGACAAGGCCGCGTTGTTCCTTTGCTCTTGGGTTGCTTTCGTTGTACAGGGAAGAAATGTCGTGTCTATGTCCAAAATTAGGGCTCTTAAAATATCATTGCCAGGAATCGAACCGCTAAAAGAATGAATTGCTCCAAAATGGAGAAAAAGGCCCACGATCTTTGAAATGTCAATTCCAGGAATCGAACCGTGCTACGAATGAATGGCACGTGAAATGCTGCCACCGCGTATCGATCCGTGTCCGCAAGTGTCTGACGTGTCAAATTGTCACGGTTCCACGAAATCGACGGTCACGCGTGCTCCATGGCGGTTTTGGGGACTTTAAAGAAATAGCTTGGAGGGCGAAGAATCCATCGATTTGGCGATGACGACGGAGCTCCGGATGCTCGAAGTGACGCCCATCTCGGCGGAGGACCTCAAGGATGTGAAGCTCGTCGGCAAGATGCAAACGTACGTGGTGGCGTGGGTGGATCCGTCGCGCAAGGCGTCCACAAATCTGTCGCAGCTGCCGGGTAAGAACCCTCGCTGGAACGAGAAGCTGATGCTGTCGGTGGAGGATCAATTGCTCCAGCAGCCGGGCGCATTCCTGGTCCTGGAGATTTACCACAGGGGATTTCTCGAGAGCACGATCGTGGGGCGCGCCAATATCCCCCTCCAGGAGATCTCCACCAAGGGATCCGGCGATGCGCCCCTCTCCTTCAAGGTCCGGCGCCCATCGGGGCGATTGCAAGGCACGATCCACGTCTCTGTCAAGGTCGGGGAGAAATTCCAGGGGAATTCGTCAAGAACACAGCAGCCGGCGCCCACGGCCTACCCTTACAACCCACAGGGGCAAGGACCATCCTCGGCATATCCCCAGGCATATCCCCCGGCGGCGGGATATCCACCCCAGCAGCAAGGAATGTACCAGCAGCAGCAGCAGCCGTACTACCCGCCGGCGTACGGCGCCCCGGTTATGCAGCCAATGATGCCCCCGAGAAGGAACCGGTTTGGCGGGGGTGGTATGGGTATGGGCGGGGCTGGGCTCGGTTTGGGCGCGGGGCTACTGGGGGGTTTACTTGTTGGAGATATGATTAACGATGCTCACTACGATGGAGGCTATGGTGGGGACTATGGTGGTGGGGACTATGGTGGTGGGGATTTTGGCGGTGGAGACTTTGGTGGCGGCGACTGGTAGAAAGCTATTTTGTAAAGCGCTGTAACTATATTTTGTTACCCTTTGTAAATTTTAAAGACTGTTGCTCGATGGCGGCTTATTTATAATTCCTAGATCAAATTCAAATTCTCTTATATGTCAACCTTGAACAGATTGGTTCGAATCAAGAAAAGAGGGACGACGCGACGTGATCTCAAACAACAAAGTTTTTATAAGTGGGAGAATCTGGCTTTAAGGATATTATGCTATTTCATCCAAGGACGAGGTCCGCTTAGATAGCTCTGGTTCAAGCACCTAGTCCTTGGCTGTTGTATGCTTGCATATTTTTGGGGTCTATTGGGTGCCCAACTGGAGGCCAATGCAATGGATGCCTTTCACACTCTTGTCCCTCTGTTCTTCAGATAAACAGTGCCCATTGCTTTTGTGGTTGTGGATGATTCAGGAGGAGCTTGCATTCGAGGCATATCCAGCTTGGGTGATGCGGCCAAACGAAAATTCCACGACGCCTCCGACTCTGCCCGGTCTGCGCGGAAGAAACGGACACGGTCATGCATTGCCTGCACGGAGTTCCGCACGCAAGACATGGACTGGAACGGGGAGACAGACACGCTCCTCGCCACCATTGTCATCCCAACTACGTAACATGCATGGAGCTGCGATGCCAAATCCACGTCTCGCATGCGACACCAGAGATCTTGAACGACCACACGACCTAGGCAGGGCGGATAATAGGATAATTGGCATGGATAGTTCAAACTGCAATTTTGCATCCATCCTGCTTCAAGATGGGCACTGCTAGACTCTCACAAAACTTTTATGTATCTGCGCAGAATTCTCTCGTATACAAGTAGTGCTTAATCTTGTTGGTAGCTAAAGTAAGGAGAAACATAGTGCGAGTTCACCAACTTTTCATATACTGAGTTGGGATCTCATGTTTAGATGGGCACCACAAGATTTAAAACAAGTTACATATATACATATACTAATTTACAGCACATGGAAAATATACGGAACTAATAGACCCTACTGTTCCTATGATCTTTTGTTCATGGGTTTGGATTTTCACTTAAGGTGGGAAACCAGTCAATGTACATGAATAGGTTCTCCCTTTAGAATTCCACTTAATTTGCTGTGAAGGGACTTTCCAAAACATTGTCAAACTCTTATTCAAGGCTGACTGCAGCGTGTAATTTAAAATGGGTGATCCTCAATGCTTGTCAAGTCCATTTCGAGTTTTCCAAGCGGAAGTACTCTTATTGAAGTTTTACTTCCCCATCTATGTCCTGTTACACAACACTTTTGCTCTTTTGCAGCCTCAAGTTTGACCTTTAATTCTAGTACCAAGCAAGGATCCTAGAGACAATGATTTAGATGCCTAAGCACAATGCAAGTACCAAGAGAAGAGTTGATATTTGATGTGCGTTTGTTTTCCAGCCACAACATACCAAAAAAAGGGGTGATTATTTGAAGCAAGCAATGACAGGTGTCTGGGAGATTTTTGAGAGAGCCAGACAGTTTATTTTTTAATATAGTGTACATAATATGCACACCAACACTTATATAACATTAATTAAAAACAGTATTTTTTTTACTTTTCTTTTGTCAGTTTTTGGTAATATTTGGTGAAATGACTAATAATTTTCAAAATATAATTGTTCTGTGAAACAATGTACAAGTATTTGAGATAGAATTTATGCATTTTACATCAAAGTTCATGATTATAAAATATCAAATATTTTCATGTACAAGTATATTGCTATCTTATAAATTTTAGATTTATAAATTATTTTTAAAGCTTATTAATATAGTTCATGTCACTAGCATTTAATTCTTTGCACTTTTGTTAATTTATCTAGGAAAACAAAGACTCTTTTGTAAATAATAAATAAAATGTTTCAGCTACTTAGTACATTAATCTACAGTTTTGAAAATGAATTACCAAATTTTTTAAAATTATGGTTGTATTAAATAGTAGATTGTTTAAAATATTTAATATAGCTTTTTCCTTCAAAAATTAAAAAAAACTAAGGTCTGTGACAGATTTTTCAGGATTATGTTTAACATAGGGAATATAAATATTAATCTCTATTTAATTTTTTATTTTAATTTTCTATTAATGACTCAAGAAAGCTACTATTTCCATCCTACCAAGCTCTCTTCCTTTTTAGTCTGCACTTATAATAAATTGTTTAAAATACTAATGTGAGTTTTAGGAAGTAAGATTTATATTAAAATATATGATTAAATGTGCTTTATTATTTATATAATTACAGTTTAGAAGAAGTTTATATTTAGAATCATACTCAAAAATACTATTTGAGCTTATATTAAGAGAAAATTCTGAATAATTTTATATTTTATAAGATTATAATGAAATACAACCTTCACTGTTTTTTTTATTGTACTTAGAATTAGATATATAAAAACTTTAAGACTTACTATGCTCATCAAAAAGTAAACAACATTATCAACTTTTTTGCATATTTACTTTGCTCTGCTTTTCACGACAATTTTTCCAATTAATACTCCCAGCCCTAGGGATGCAACGCTTTTGGGCGATGGCGCCGGTAAGTCTTACGTTTTCCTCCTTCTTATTATTTGTCGCGCCACAGGCAACAAGGTTCCAATTGCCAAGACAAGGTAAACCATTCGATTTCACCAAGCAAAATTCGAGCTTTGCTTGTCAGATTTTCCATCGCGGCTTTGGTTTCTTCCATTCAAATCCAGATGCTTGTCTACCCGAACCGAGGTGGTGAGATTTAAAACACCAGGCGATAGAAATCTCATCCCACACTCTGCTCCTCCCACTTCCCGGGACTATGAACTCCTTTCCAACTTCTTACAAAACAGGTAACTGAATTTCTCTTATTCTTTCAATCTTAGATTTTTTGGTGCGTTCTTTCAAATCCAGCAAGAAGCTGACCGTGATAACTGGCGCCGGTGTGAGCACCGAGTCTGGAATTCCAGACTATAGAGGGTAAAAAGAGAAAAATAAAAAAATCTCTTGGTTTTCATAGCTGCTGTATTCAAGGTGCCAGTCCACAAGGAGCTTATAGCACAGGTTTCAAGCCAATAACTCACCAGGTAAAAGAGAAATAAACGAACCAAATGTTTTTCCTTAAAGAATTTTCTTCTTTTTTCTTCTACCAGGAATTTCTTAAGTCCGCTTATAGCAGGAGACGGTACTGGGCTCGCAGCTACATTGGCTGGAGACGATTTTCGCAAACTCAACCAGGTCCAAGTCACATTGCTCTCGCAAAGCTCGAGGGAGACGACGCACGAACCACGGGGATGATCACGCAAAACGTTGACAGGTTGATCCAATACTTTCATGAGATTTCTCGATCGATCGACGATCTTCCACTGTTTTTTCTCGTTTCTCCTCATAGATTGCATCACAAAGCCGGGAGCAATCCCATCGAGCTGCACGGAACAACGCACCAAGTCGTGTGCCTGAGCTGCGGCGATTTAAGTCCCAGACAAACTTTCCAGGACCGCTTGAAACTTCTCAACTTGGAGGTATGCTTTCTTTTGTTCTTGATCCATACGCTTATAACTTTGTCGTGCTTCTACCAAGTGGGCAGCGGCCGTGGAGATTGTGGAAAGCGGTGGAGTCGTCGGGTCGGATGTGAGCTTTGGAATGCAGCAGCGACCGGATGGCGACATAGAAATCGACGACAGCGTCTTCTCCAGGGATGATTTCCAGATCCCGGCATGCCAGGCCTGTGGTGGAAACTTGAAGCCTCACGTAAGTTCTTCGAGTTTCTCCTGGATAAAATGAAAACACTAGTTCGCCTCCAGGACATTCTCGGTTAATTCGCGGTTGTTTTGTTTCGCAGGTGGTTTTCTTCGGAGATAACGTTCCTTTAGATCGAGCTCGAGCTGCTGCAAGCATGGTTCAAGAGTCGGATGCTTTACTCATCGTTGGCTCGTCTGTAATGGTTTTATCGGCCTTTCGTCTTGTGAGGTAAGTGGGAGCCTTTTTTTGAGTTGTGTGAATCGTTTCTCTCTGTTGCCAGTGCCGCTCATAAGCAAGGCTCTCCCATCGCCGTAATCAACGTCGGAAAAACTAGAGCCGACGAGATTGCTTCCTTCAAGATCGAGAGCTGCGCTGGTGAAGTGAGTTTTGTGGATCAAACACTCCAGTCTCTCATGATGTAACTTACTTCCAGGTTTTGTCCGGGTTTTTATCGACGCAAACTCTGAAAGGCAAAATGTAAGATCAAAACTATTTCTTATTAAATTGTGCCAAGATGTATACCAAGTATGAGACTTAAACATTGTCATTAATCAATGAAAGAGAAAAAATCTGTAATGATGCGAACTCTAGCTTTGTGTAGAAATACAAGAAAATCCCAAGTGAAGAAAAAGGAAGCGGACTACCCAAGATTCTCCGCATAATCTTCCATGCCTTAAAGGCATCTTCTCGGAATTCCAGAGCCTCCCTTCCCTTGTTTTATCTCTGACAACAAAAAGGATTGACCTGGGGCGCGACAAAAGGTAAAAACAAACCAGCAACATAGCAAATCTCAACGCACAAACAATGCTAATGATTATTACCTCGCCTTACTTACCTGGAGGCTGGCATCTTGTGGCGGCCTTGGTTGGATAGATAGTGTCTATTTGTTTATAGCATTGGAGAATGGAGACTTCCAATGCTTGTAAATGCTGGACTAGCAAACAGTTTTATTTCTTTTCTTTTGTTGTATCTATTTTTGTTCTTCTGTATAATAAAATAGATGAGAGGATCGAACCGGAGGCCGGACTTGGCCAGAATCTAAAATTTCAGCTCTGGAGAAAAGAAGGAAGGAAGAAGGAGAGAAAAAGGAGGTGGTGTGGTCCAGGAATTGGGAGCTCCAAGATCTATGAGCTCCAAGGATGGTGACATTGAGAGGGCTAATGTAGAGCTCTCATCAAATCTGTGAGCATTGGGTGGGGGACAATTTGTGCAATGCAAGCAAGCACACATTGTTGTACATCATGCTTCCTCCCTTTTTTGAAGGGATACATTTCCAACCCTTTGTGCTGCTTGTCAATTGCGTGCACAGTAGAAATCTTTGCTGGTTTGTCCTAACCAAGCTTGGTTGTATGGGAGTGGGTCTCCATCCATTGGCTGGTTTTGTGAACAAACCCTACCAACTTCTTTGATAACCTAGAAGGGATGTTTTGCCCGTGACGCGGTGGAGATCTATCTCCCTTAGTAAAACTCTATAAAAATCCACGAAACGTCTCACATCCATGCATTTGAATACTAATTCTCCCAAACCCAACCTCCACATGTGAAGCCACCATATAAAATCCGGCAACATGGTTAGGCATTTAAAGTTCGCGAATGCGACCTTCGCATGTAAACATTAGGGCAAAAAAAAAAGGTGGCGAAGCAAAGAAAAAGTGTTAAAAGGAAATGGCAGGTTTGTCACTTGGGATGAAACACAAAGCATTTTTCTTTGGTCTCTGAAGATGACGAAATGCTGCGAGGAATAACGGCCCCGCCGGGGTTCGAACCCGCGACGTGGGCAGCCCCAGTTTTTTAAAAGAGGCCCATTTGTTTGATCATTTGCCGCATTTGCGTTTGAGCTTGGAGGGAGCCTCTCTTCTCTCTCTCTTCTCTCTCTCTCTCTTTCTCCTCCTTTCCTGTGTGGAGCTTCCAATTCGCGATGGCGATGGCGATGGAGTAGCGCGTTGTCTTAGAGAGCAAGTGGCCCACTGCATCGATTGCTGCAGCGTGGATTCTAGGGGTTTGTCCCACTTTCTTTCTTGCAAGAATTTCGTCTCCCGTGGTGCTGGGAGTCTCCTCCTGCTATCGATTCCCCAAGAGTCCCAGTCTAAGAGCGATTATTTGCGTTTCTTGGGAGATTTCTTGTGATGTGAGGGGATTTCGCGACAACGTCGAGCAGTGCGCAGCGAGCGAGGGCGTTCTTTTCTTTCCACTCTCGTACTGGCGAGACGAATATGGGATCGCCAGGAGCCCCCAGATTGTTCGCTGATGTTTTCGCCTCTCCGGAATGTGGCACCGCGGCGGATGGGTTGGCGGCGGTGATCGCATCGTGTTCTCCATTGGCATTCCAAGGTCAGAGGCTCACGCTTTCTTCCTTTTTTCTCAAAATTTCCCATTCCTCCTTCCAAGTTCTTGGTTTTGTCAAATTAAAGATTCTCCCTACTTTTCTTTCTTCTCTTGCAAGCTTTCACCCTCATGAAAAACTATCATGAATACCAATCACTCACTCATGCGTGGCTCTTTTTTCTTCTAGGAATGGATGAAGGAATGCATTGTCACAAGCGTCCTCTCTTCCCAATTTTCGAGGCCTCCACTGAGGAGGCTGGCGACGATGATTTGTGCGACGAATCCATAGCTCAACACGTCGAGAAGAAGCGGAGGCTCTCGGTGGAGCAAGTCAAGGCTCTGGAGAAGAACTTCGAGATCGAGAACAAGCTAGAGCCCGACCGGAAGATTCAGCTGGCCAAGGAGCTTGGATTGCAGCCAAGGCAAGTGGCCGTGTGGTTCCAAAACCGCCGAGCGAGGTGGAAGACCAAGCAGCTGGAGAAGGACTACGATCTCCTCAAGTCGGAGTATGACGATTTGAAGGCGAGCTACGTGGATCTTGCCAAAGAGAGGGACAAGCTCCAGGCTGAGGTAGATCTTCTTTCCTGAAATTCAAGCATGATACTCGTTCCAGAGCCACGAATTCATACTGATATGAAATGTTTTCTAACAGGTCTCTCGGCTGAAGCTTCGCATGGATGATCCTCGCAAGCAAGCTGGCTCGGGCAAGAGCATCAAACAGGAGGCCGCGGAAGAACTCGCCAAGATGGAATTCGATCATGAGGAGCCTGCTTCCACCACCAATTCCCAGCTCGATGGTGCGCAACAAGCCATTGACATCAAGGCCGCGATATCGATGATGGACGCCAAGAAGGAGGGGAGCTTTTGCTCCGACAGCGATGGCAGCGAGATTTTGGAAGTTGAGAGCCCGATTCAAGAACACTTAACAACAGCGACACTTGTGACAACAGCCGACGCCACTGTTGCTTACAATTGCAACGAGGCCGAGCAGCACCACGTCTTTCTCTACGCCGACGAGTTCCTTGCTCGCGATCAAGAGCCGCCAGCTCTCGACCATCACAGCCATGCTCCGCAACCGCAATGTCAGCAGCAACAACATATCAAACTGGAAGAGAGCTCTTGTAGGGACGAGCAAGGCCTCATGGAAGAAGCCCAAAGTGGTGGTGGTGAACAGGGGAGCTCGTTTGCGTGGGCATGGGAATGGGCGTAAGCTTCCATTGCCGTGTTATATCATCTCAGAGAACCTCTCAGGTTCGTACCTGCGAGTTCTCTTTTTACTCTGATCGTCGTGAATTTCCTCTTGCCGTGTTACAAACTTTGGAAAAATCTCCAGATTTTTATAATGGGGACTGATTGACTTTGCTGCCAGATGGACTGGAGACCGTAACGGTGAAGCAGAGAGAGAGAAAAAAAAAGAAGGAATATTGCTGCCACCAGAATTATTGTGAACACGAAAAATAGAAGAAAGTTTTGTACATTATATAATAACATTATTATTATAATTTGATGAAAATGTTCAGAAACATTATATTAGCGTCAAGGTGGCCGGCGGAAAGCAAAGAAAATATAAACAAGAAGAGACAAAGCCTGAAATCAAGTGACAATCGCCATCCATTTGATCTCCACAGGACTTGAATTTTGAAAATGGATTGATGATGAATGGCCTTGGCACTAGCCATTCAAAGCAAAAAAGCAAAGAAAAAGGAAAAGACAAAAAACAAAATAAATACATAAATAAAAATCTTTTTCATGGGGAAAAAGATCAGTAGCTTGCTTTTCCCAGGACCAGCAGCAACATACAAAAACTTTTCTTTTTTTGTGTATGGAGACTATTGCTGTGCAATACAAAGGGCCAGGGATGGACCACTGTGGCAGCAAACTGCTAACAAGTGGAAGGTTTCAGATTTTAAAAAGGCTTTTGTCCACTTATAGCATAGCTTCATATTATCTCTTTTGTTTCCAAGATCCACACAGTTCTTTGAGAATGATCACAAAACTTCAAAATCCTCATTGGGTCTGTGTGTGTGCTAATCAAAACTTGGCAAAGTAGAGAGGTGCGTGAGGTTGAGGTCCACCACAACGTGCTAATGTCATCAAAGCTCTTGCTTTAGGGGTGGTGGCACTTCAAGATCAAACAACAGTGGGGCTTTCCCGTCTTTCTTTCTTCTGGACTAGCTAGCCTAAGGCACAACAACAAGGGCAAAACAAGAGAAAACAAAAGAAAGAAAAAGAGTTTTGGATATGGACAAAGGTGTCACAGATAAATGTTTACACCTGAACGAGAAAGGTGGCGAAGCAAATAAAACAGCAAAGTTGGGCAAACGCTGGTTAAAGTCCTGGTGTAAAGCTTGCCAAGGACAGGGCCCGCCAGTGACGTCAACCGTGGGGGCCCGAGTCCTTCTTTTTGGCGCGAGTGACGGGTTGACGGCCCCACTTTGGGACAGCAAGAACGGGAACAGCAAGAACGGGAAATAAAAAAAAAAGAAAGAAAACGGCCCCGTTTATATGTGACGGCTCCCTGTTTGTACGAAGACAGCCAAAGTTTTCGCTAAGTCTGCTGCTTTGGGAAGATCACAAGAATTGTCCGAAAGGCATTTAATCGAAAGTTTGTCTACTATCACTTGAATCAAAATAATCTGGACGATTTAGAGAGTAGAATTGTAGAATCGCAATAGTGGATTCCACAAAAATAAAATAAAATAAAATAAAAAAGAGGAGAAAAGAAAGAATAGTTTCTATACACATACTGTACAAGCTCATTACGAGCTTTGTCGCTGCAGGAAAGGCTCCGCCTTGAGAAACACCCCGAGATACATAAGATGGTCCGAAACGCTGTTTCCTACCACCGATCTGCACAGCGGTCTCGCGAGATTAAAACAGGAATCTCAAACTCTTTCTTTTCTTTTCTTTTCTTTTTGTTCTCTACCTGCAACAAGTTGGATCCTCGCCCGAATCGTCGCAGACGCGGAAAACATCGTAAGTTAGGATGTCCATTTCACAGCTGTAGATCCAAACCTGTTTTGGATAGGAATTGTAAGATGGGCGATGGGCCAGCCCCGGAGAAATCAAATCTTGATATGTCTTACCTCGGTTGCAAAGTGGTGGTAAGTTCTCTCGCCGAAAAACGGGTAGTAAGGTGGCAAATGAGGAACCAAGTCGTGAGCGTGCGTCATTCGTATCGTGTCCGGCACCATCGCTCTGTAATAGTCTGCGAATGCTGGATTGCCTACTCGAGGCTGGCCGAAGGTGACAACGTGGACGTTTTCTAGTTTGTGATTCACCTGAGCCGCAGCCAAAACTTAAAAAGTGCTACGCAGAGACCAAATGTGAAAAAGGATCATACCACGAGATCCAGAGCAGCAAAGGTTGCCATTGCTCCTCCCATGGAGTGTCCGGTGATCATCAGTTTCAAGTCTTTGTGTTGGCCTACTAAAGCGTGGACAGCCGCGAGAACACGAGGCCTGAGCGTTGTGTTGTGGTACGCGGAGTAGAATCCATGGTGAACCTTAGGAAACGAATGATCTCAAAGTCAGAATGAGAGCGTAAATGCCACTGCAAGTACCATTGCGTCAACGCATCCGGGATAGTGAAAATCCAGTTGTCTGAAATATAAATCTTCCACCCAGTTCTGGACGCTACGCAACGCAAGTTTGTCTTCGTTTCTTTTGCAAATTCTGAAAGGAAAACCACATTACCTGCTTTCTTGAGTCCCACGAAATGCCATGACAATGGCTCCGAGGTTTCTGTCCAGGCCAACAAAAGCCTGCAGGAAAAACTTTAGACGGAAAAAAAAAAAAAAAAAGCTTGCGTCTAACGTACCTGAAGGCAATGTTTGACATCTATGATCAAATCCACAAGCTCAAATCCCTTTAAAGAAGAAGGATGAAAGCAAAGGAAATTCTTGCGAGAAATACTAAAAGCTTACTTTCGTCCGACTGTTACATCGATCACAACTCCATTGCCACAGCTCTGCCGGATCATCTACATATACCTGAAATATTTCTTAGCTATTAAGATCTGAAAGAAAAATCCCAAATCTCCTATAGCTCTATCGAAATATCTCAATCAACTTACCGCTGATGCATACTCCACCAAAATCTTTGCGAGGGTAAGATTAAATTTCTGGCTGTTATCGGCGCCGCTGCGCAAAACAACGTCTACGCATTGCACGAAGACCGTATCAGAAACATTGCAACGAAGCAATGCTTACCCGCTGTAGAAGAAGCTGCAGCCGAGCACAAGAAGAAACACGCAAGGAAGGCAAATTCACAGATCGCCCGCTCCCTCCGCGTCAAATCCATACACAAACTCAAGAATTCATCAGATCTTCGCCCCACTCCAAGAACCCTAAAACTCCCTTCCTCTGTTTCCAGGTCAAACAGGTAGCTTGCTAAAATTTGCTTGTCTTTGAGAATATTCGATGAATTTTAAAGGACTAGGGCTTGCCGCCATAGAGCTGCTCGAGCATTGGCATGGCTTGGGTCAACAGGGTTTCCACGGTGTCAGCATCGGGGAGCGCGGATTTCACGACTGGATGATCGCGCAGCGCGCACAGCAGCCTGTGGAGATTGGGGCAGTGATCTGCCGATGGCATTTGGTCGCGAGCCCAGATTGCGGGCGCGAGGAGCACGATATCAACGAGCCCTAGCTTGTCGCCGGCGAAGAAGGGCGTGCATTCGTGCTTGCGTAGCTCCTCCTCGAAGAGCTCGCAGCTCTTGGCTAGATCCGCGGGAGTGGCGCCCAGCCCGAAGTTGATATTGCCGCAAGTGGCGAAGATCTGGCAGGAAACTCTCAGACTCGATCCAGGAGATGTAAATTCTGGGGCTTACCTTGTTCTCCACAAACTCGGCCAGGAATCGCTCCCTGGATCGCGCGAGAGGGTCTCTGGGAAGAACCGCGGGCGTGTGTGGGAATGTCTCGTCTAGGTACTCGATGATGTTGCGCGAATCGCAGATGGGCTGGCCCTTGTGGATCAGGACGGGAAATTTCTTGTACAGGGGATTCAATTGGAGCAGCAGTGAGCTCTTGTTGAAGAGATCGTCGGGGATGATCTCGTACGTGATTCCTTTGAGCTCAAGAACTAGCACCACTCGAAGAACAAAGGGGCTGGGAAAGACATACAAGAGTTTTACCTCTTTCTCCTCCGCCATAGCTTACACAATCCGCGGATCCCCTTAAAAACTTTTCCATGCTTTTTTGTTGCATTCATTTAAACTAAAACAAGTCAAGAGGAGGATTACTTTGACTTTCTCTCATTCATTAAATAAGTAAAAAGGAATCACCCCGGCAATGGTGCCCCAGGCCGAAGATCCATCGCAAGGAAGATGAATCTATCTATCTACTGTTTCTAGTCTCGCAGTGCCCATCGAAACATCTCAAGAATGCGAAATATGTACAATATGAAGGGCTACCTGGAGGCAAATGAGCGTGACCTATCATCTACCGCAGAATTTGCGCCAAATGCCACAACATAGTGCTTTAAACCTTAACAATAGGCGCTATGAAAATTTTTTAATATTAGACATCGTTATGAATAAGTTCTTAGTAAGTGTATACTTTTAAGTTAGAATTTGCAAGCCAAACTCATGGAAATGATCCAGCTCCTCGAACTAAAAGATATTATGGAGATAATGATGCACTTTTAATAATGAAAATGCTTAAGTTTTAATTAAGATTGGAAAATTATTAGAAGAAAAATTTCCTAGAAAAATAAATAATAAAAGAGTCGCATCTAAAGTAGGGGGTTCTGAAACAAGGGAATTATTGAGTCATAGAACATTTATAGAATATAGAATTATGTTAATTAATGAGCCCTAACAATCAAATAAATTTCATTTATGATACTTTAAAAACAATTATAGAATATGGAACTTGAAGTGCATTTTCTTTCATATGTACTATTAATCATAATTAAAGGATCTTTAGATAATAGAAAGACTTGTGTAGCTTTTTAGTTACACACCAATGTCCTATATGCTTGCCTTGAATAAGTGTTAAGGGGAGGCATTTCGGCTCATTAACTTTGATATTGAAATTAATATTTGCATCTGGCAATAATGGATATAAACCAAAATGAGAGCATGATAACTGAGTTTAACCTTAACTATTTTATTCAATTTTATGGATAGTATTTTAGTAAGGGGATATATTACAACACCAATAAAAATTTATATTTAGGATTTTCTAAGATATCAAAAAATAAAGAAATTTATTTCACTGTAATATCTGTGTGGTAGTGGATATACTTAAAACATGCTTGAATATTCTAGAATATTCTAACATCTAAGGGTTGTTATTCATTTATATTAATCTTGTATTATTGATCCTATACACTTCCTAGTATATTCTAGTTTATTTTACCATCTAGTGGTTGATATTCAATAAAATTAATCTTGTGTTTATAAATTATAAACATGTTTATAACTATAGATTAATAATAGAAATAACACTACTATTAAGCAAACTAAGCATTGCTATATGCAACATGCAACAAATTCTTTTAAACTTTTTAATTATAATATCATTTTTAAAACTTATTGTAAGTTTTATATGAAATCGGAGGGTAGAAATTAAAATACTAATTTTAATTTAATTTTTGAAATTAGAAGTAACTCAATACTTTAAAAATACTTAAAATATAATATTATATTAAAAGTTTGAATAGAACAAAGTAAAAGAATATGTTATAATCTTTATGGTTTTTAATTAAGTTATATATCATTCTTTTGTTATCTAAGCTTAGATTTGGCTAATAATATATGAAATTTATCAACTTATTCTCTTTGCAACTTTTAAGCCTTTTAACCGTCACTAATTCTTCATTTGGCCACTAAATATTTACTTAGACTCTGGAATATTTTTCCACAAGTTCTTGATACATGTGTACAACTATGAATTCCTATCACCAAAAATGCTAATGACAAACAAATGATGATCCCTGTCAAGAAGGAACTCACAACTGTGTTTAAGTGCTTTATCTTGAGTTATTTATCCAAGGTGTAGTTGTAGCTATCACCATTCAACTTGTAATCTCAAACACCTCTAAGAAAATTAAAATTTTATTTAAAATTCTAGTTCTTACCATATGTGTAATAAATTCCCTTACCAGAGTTACTAGTGGCAAGCAAATGTTGATCCTCATTAAAGAGTTCACAATTATGTCTAAGTGCTCTATCTTAAGCAATTTGTTTGCGATGTAGTGTACACCACCATCCCTACCTGTGATCTCAGCTAACTCCAGAAAAATTAGAATTTTGAACCTCTTTTGCATTGGCTTAAAGTGTAAGACAGTTTTTGGTTTGACCTGAGAGGGATTAGAATATATCTAGAATATGCTTGGATATCTAAGATATTCTACTATCTAATGATTGTTATTCATTTAGATTAATCTTATATTTATAATGTATAAATTTTCCTAAATACTTTCTAGTATATCCTAGTTTATTCTACCTCCTAATATATAACAAGATAAACATGTTAAATCAATTATAATTATAAATCAATTAGATTAAAAAATAGAAATAATACTATATTAAACAAAAAAATTGTTGTTACATGCAACATGCAGTAAATTATTTAAATTATAAACATGTTTATAATTTATAAATACAAGATAAATTTAATTGCTAGAATATACCTAGAGGTGTTTAAGAAAGTTTATAAATTATAAACATATAAACACAATATTAATATAAATGTAGATAGGAGAATATGCCAGAAAATCCAAGAATATTCTAGGTATATTCACTATCACCAAAGTTAATAAATAATAAATTTTAAAAAAATTCAATGTCAGACTTTATAGATGACAAATCTATCATATAAACGTTCTTCTGTGTATATATCATTTATTTTTTCTGATCATTCTAAATACATTAACAATCTGCATTTCAAAATTTTCAATGGAACTTGAAATCTACTAATTTATAACATTAAACTTGAATTATACATCAATGTTTTAAGGACCTCAACTACTCTAACCATAACCTCAGTACTTAAATAAATGTTGTGCAAATCGCTGAGTGGCTGGCCTTGTACAGAGGATTCAATTGAAGCAGCAAGTGGAAGAGATTGTTGACTATGAAAGTCAAAGTAATGCAGAAACATAGAAGACACCAAAGAAGTTTTTAAGAGTTTTTGGGTCTTTCTTTTATGGGATCCAAGCAAACTGCATATTGTGTAAGCTATGGCGAGGTAAAGGTGTTGCCCCTTTATTCTTCTAGGTGGTGCTAGTTCTTGAGCTCCGTATTATTCCTTTAAGATTCAGAATTGAATTGCTAACCTCTATTTGCAAATTAATAAAACTACAAAAGTTTTCTGCCACGTGTAAAACCCTCCAGAAACCTCTAGCATTTCCTTCCTGGCTGTGCGAGTGAGTTTAGGGTTTTGTGTCAACGAAGGATGCAGGGGAGAGCGATCGGGCGAGCGCTGCGAGCGGCGGAGGAGCTGCTGCCACAGGTGCGATGCGTCGCCGGTGGCGCCACGCGAAATCTGAGTAACTCTAGCAGTCAATCTGCATCAGAAGTTTCCGGGAGAATCGCGCACAGGGCGTCCTCTAGATTCTGGTCCGACAGTCTCTACCGGCGAGGCGTTCTATGGTCGCTGGATCACAGGCGAGGCTTCCATGGCACCTCGCGCTTGGAAGCGCCGGTCACTGTGAGTGTTTCTTATTTGCCTAGTTCTCTGATTCGAAGAGTTTCTTTTCTCTTTCTTTCCTGGCAGCTTTCTCCCAAGGATTACACAAACATGGCTTGGCAAGCCATGGTTTCCGCCGTGGAACTGGCACAATCAAACAGACAACAGGTTGTAGAAACCGAGCATCTTTTAAAGGCTTTGCTGGAGCAAAAAAATGGTCTTGCACGGAGGATTTTCACCAAGGCCGGGATTGATAACTCGGCTCTTTTGCAAGCAACTGAGCGATACATCGAGCGCCAGCCTAAGGTGAAAAGTGTTTTTTTTCTTTCGATTGAGACCTTCTTATTGTGCGCGTGTTCTTCTAGGTGGCGGGAAACATATCTGGCGCTATGCTTGGCCAGAGCCTCGACAGTTTGCTCGATCGAGCCAAGGGTCACATGAAGGACTTTGGAGATAATTATACGTCAATCGAGCATTTAGTTCTTGCGCTCGCGGAAGACATTCGTATCGGGAAGGAGTTGTTTGGGCAGTTCGGTCTCAATGCCAAGGCTACTAAAGATGCGATCACTGCCATTCGAGGGACACAGAAGGTTACTGATCAAGGTTCGTTGTTTTCTTTGTCAAAAAATTTCAACACTCGTTTGTTTTCTTGTTCCAGCCCCTGAAAACAAGTATGAAGCACTAGAGAAATTTGGAGTGGATTTGACGGAGATGGCCCGCCAAGGAAAGCTTGATCCGGTCATCGGTCGTGATGACGAAATTCGACGGTGCATTCAAATCTTGTGCCGGCGAACCAAGAACAATCCCGTCGTGATTGGAGAGCCTGGTGTGGGCAAGACTGCTATAGCCGAAGGGTATGGAAATCACTGGCTTCTGCTGGCTTGATTTTTTTGCATAGACTTGCTCAGCGTATAGTTCAAGGAGACGTGCCCGAGGCCCTTGCCAACCGGAAGGTATGTTTTACGCGAGTGCTATTGCAACACCTTACCATTACAAATGCAGCTGATATCATTGGACTTGGGAGCCTTGATCGCAGGAGCGAAGTTTCAAGGAGAATTTGAAGATCGATTAAAAGCTGTTCTAAAAGAAGTGAAGGAGTCAGAGGGGTACATTGTGCTTTTCATTGACGAAATACACATGGTCGTCGGGGCAGGTACTTTGTGTGTGCGATTTTGCATTTTCGACTCCAAGCACGGTACTTGTTTTTTCAGGTGCCACCTCGGGAGCAATGGATGCTGGAAACTTGCTAAAGCCAATGCTGGGCCGTGGTGAACTGAGGTGCATTGGTGCCACGACAATAAAGGAATATCGCAAGTACCTTGAGAAGGATGCAGCTCTGGAAAGACGTTTCCAGCAAGTTTATGTTGCGGAGCCTGCCGTGGAAGATGCGATATCCATTCTTCGTGGATTGCGAGAGAAATACGAGCTTCACCACGGAGTAAAAATCTCAGACAACGCTTTAGTCGAAGCTGCTATACTCTCTTCTCGTTATATCAGCGACCGTTTCTTACCAGACAAAGGTGCGAGATTTATCAATTATGTCCTGGATGTGTTTTCATTTTTTTTTCCTGTAACATAGCCATCGATCTTGTTGACGAGGCCGCTGCAAAGCTGAAGATGGAGAGGACGTCGAAGCCGACTGCTCTAGACGAGATTGATCGGGTTATCATCAAGCTGGAGATGGAGCGTTTATCCGTTGAACATGACAATGATAAAGCTTCCCGCGAGAGGCTGCAGAAGCTAGAAGCAGAGCTAGCATCTCTCAAAGAGAAGCAGAAGGCCTTGCAGCAGCAATGGGAGATGGAAAAGTCGATCATGACTCGCATCAACTCGATCAAAGAAGAGGTACACGTGTTTTTTGTTTTTTTTTTTTTTTTTCCTTGTTTTTTTTGGTCGCAAAGCAGAAATTAAACTTGTGCTTGTGTTTGGCAGATTGACCGTGTCAATCTCGAAATCCAACAGGCCGAGAGAGACTACGACCTCAACAGAGCCGCCGAGCTCAAGTATGGCGTCCTTACCAACTTACAAAAGCAACTCAACGAAGCCGAAGGCGAGCTTGCAACGTACAGGAAGTCTGAGAAAGCAATGCTGCGAGAGGAGATCACTGCCGACGACATTGCTGAGATAGTCAGCAAGTGGACAAAGATTCCCGTCTCAAGGCTGCTCCAGTCCGAGATGGAGAAGCTGCTCCACCTCGACGAACACTTACACAAGCGCTTGATCGGCCAAGACCCCGCAGTGCAAGCCGTGGCCGATGCTATACGCCGTTCCAGAGCTGGACTCGCGGATCCAAACCGTCCTATCGCCAGCTTCATGTTCATGGGGCCGACCGGAGTCGGGAAAACGGAGCTGGCCAAAGCTCTAGCCGAATACCTGTTCGACACGGACAAAGCGCTGCTGAGATTCGACATGAGCGAGTACATGGAGAAGCACGCCGTGTCCCGGCTCATTGGCGCTCCTCCAGGATACGTGGGATACGAAGAAGGCGGGCAGCTGACCGAGAGCGTCCGCCGGCGGCCTTACTCGGTGGTTCTCTTCGACGAGATCGAAAAGGCTCACGCGGACGTCTTCAACATCTTCCTCCAGATACTCGACGATGGCCGCGTGACGGACTCGCAGGGCCGGACGGTGAACTTCACCAACACCGTGGTGATCATGACGTCCAACCTCGGCTCGCAGCACATCCTGGACGCTCTCAAATCGTCGGGCGACAAGAACGCGGCATATCAGTCGATGAAGGAGACGGTGATGGAAGTGGCTCGCTCCACCTTCCGGCCAGAGTTCATGAACAGGGTGGACGAGTTCATCGTGTTCCAGCCCCTGGACGTGGATCAGATCCAAGAAATCGTCAAGCTCCAGGTAAGTTGTGTTTTTGCGATCAGGCAGTTTATGATCTTTGGCTTTTTTTCTCTAGCTGCAAAACGTGGAGAAGAGACTCCAACACCGCAAGATCTCTTTGAAGATCACGGACGATGCGGTGCAGGTGTTTGCCAAGCTTGGATATGATCCGAACTATGGCGCCAGGCCAGTGAAGCGAGTGATCCAGCAGTACGTGACCAACGAGCTGGCTAAGGGGATTTTGAAGGGCGAGTTCAAGGAGGAGGACACGGTGCTTATCATGACCGAGGACGGGAAGCTGGCCATGAGAAAATGGTCGCCTTCTTTACATCAGCTGGTCGCTGTAGCGTGAGAAGTTTCTTCTGTTTTTTCTGTGCTTTTACTAACTTTTCTCAGAATCCAATTACATGTTTGTAAGCTGGTAGACACCAAAACAATGTCATGTAAAATGTGGAGTTAGCATAGCTTGATTGGTGAGATTTTATATAAGAATCTGTATGGACATGTCCTGAAATATTGTCTAGGCCATCAAGGGCCTCTTGCTCACACTACCAATATCCGTAGCTTTTGATGGTGCATCCTCTAACTCAACATCACGATCCAATGCCGAATCAGCATCACTGTGATCTCTATACCTGTACCACCTCGCACATGCCACGTACACCACGAAGTTGACGGCGCTGACGCTTGCAAGCAGCAGGTAGAAGTTGCTGATGTTACCCCTGTTGATGTTGCTTGGCAGCCACCCGAGCCCGCCACCTTTTGTAGTAACCCTCTTCACAATATCGACAATGGTGGAGCTCAAGAAGTAGCCCAGGGAGAGGGAGACAAAGGTCAACGCCGTGGACATGCTGCGAACTCTCTCGGGGGCCTCGCGGTAGAAGAACTCCATGAGACCCACGAATGTGAACATGTCCGCCAGCCCAATGATGAAGTACTGGATCATGATCCAGTAGATCTTGAGCGGCACCCTCGCGGTGGGCGAATCGAGGAGCCCAAACTCCCGAGCGACGCGGATCCGCTTCTTCTCCACAAACGCCGCCACCACCATACTCACGATCGCCAGAAGCAAGCCCACGGAGATCCTTTGCAAGTACGTGATCCCGTTCTCGTGACCCGTGACTCGCCGCGCGATTGGCACGAAGATCCGGTCGTAGATTGGGAGAGCTATGATCATGAACACGACCGGGAGCGCTGCCACCGACGCCGGAGGTATCTCGAAGCTCTTGGTGATCCTTCGATCCATCGTCCGGCCTTGCTGGAGTGTTACTGTCTGGACTTGAGCGATGACGCAGTTCAGAACGATGGTGCTCGCGAAGATCGGGAGGATTCGCAGGATGAGCTTCACCTCCTCGACCTGTGTCACCGTGCACAGCTTCCAGGGGCTGGTTTGTGCGGTCGGGGGAGAGTTATAGTCGACGACGGCTGCTCGATCCAAGAAGCTGCCATGGTTACAAAGACGATTGATCACTATATCGAAGCGAATCTCAAAATCTTACGTGAACTGGTCCGTGTGCTCGATCCTGTAGCCAGTCTTTGAGTCATCGAGAGGACCCTGATGGAGAACTTCCGGGGACAAAACTGAAAGCTTGCGGTTCCTAAACGCGGCCACGACAACTTGGGCGAAGCTTGTGACTGGACTTTGGGTTCCGTCTCTGGGCGAGTTGTGTCGATAGAGTGGATAGCCAGCGGCAGCGACGATCACGCCCAATACCATGCATCCAAGCGCGATGAGATAGCCAACTTCGAAGGAGACGTTTTCTTGCGTGTAGACGAGTGCCGTGATCGCAATGAGCGCTCCGATGCAGAAATGGATGAAGTACGTGTTGAAGTACGTCCCCAGTTCTTTCTTCTCCACGGGCGAGTTCTCGTCGAAGTGGACAGCTCCCATGGTCGCGATGTTGGCTTTGACACCTCCGGCTCCAAGTGCTAGAAGGTAGAGTCCTCCAAAGAACACTGCCTTTTGGGAAGAGGTTGCGCTCTTGCAGGAAGCATCTAGAAGCTGGCACTCGGGTGGAGTGAGAGATTTTATAGATGCTGCGAGCGCCACGAGAAGAATCCCCTGCGCAGAAGATCGGTATCGTCATCAAGTACTATGTATTTTTTGTTTTCCGAGAAATGGAGATAAGAGAGAGATCTTTACCAGGATTTCCAGGACGCCAGAGACGACGATCGTCTTGAACCGACTCCACCAGAGATCTGCCACAAGCCCTCCAAGGAGCGTGAGGAGAAACATCGTTCCCATGAAGTTGGTCACAATGTTGGCAGCAGTGGCGAGGCTGAAATGCTCCGTGTTGAATGCAAACGTGAAGAGATTGATCCCAATTGAGAAAGAAGCTGCCTGTTCGAGCGTCACCACCGCTGCCAAAGAAGAAATCAAATCACAAATCAAGATGATGTATCCAAACCATGAGAAGAAGAATGTAACAATGATCAAGACCATGGAGAGTCAAAATTCAAGAGGCTAAAGAAAAGGAAAAGACCCAAAATCTATCCAAGCATCAATTTGGTACCAAAGATGAAGGGTGCCACTCTCCAAGCTCGAGAAGTGAACGCCATGGAGTTTGATCAATCGCTATCCCCGCGCTCGCTCGCTGAGGATTCACACGCGAACAGAGTAAAAATCTCCCCCAAAGCCACTTTGTTTGTTTCGCTTACTTAAAAGAGAGACGAGGCCATAAAAGATGACGTCATTTGATTGCTAGGGAGCTGACTCTGAGGGTTTTGTCACGTCCGAAAAGAGTATCGTGGGATTAAAGGTTCGCTTCTCTCTTTCAAAACAACTCGAGAGAAAAGTTTATGGAATCTCGGGTTTTGGTTTTCTCCTTGCTCCTTTGTTTGCTGCCTTTTATCTTGTATTCGAGCCAGAGTTTTGACGGGTACGGTGGGGGTGGAAAGAATCCATCCAAATTTGTGTTCTTGGTATCATTTTCCCCAATCTTGGCTTGACTTTTATGCTTCCATCGAACACATGGCAAGAAGTCACATTGACTCTCGCGGCAGAATCAAAGTATATCTGCACATTTGAATATTAAGTGTCTCCTCTCAAGGCCCAATCAAGAGAATGATCGTGTAATTCTGTTCTTGGGGCCAGCTGGCCGGGCGCTGATCTTCCGCAAGATTGTGGAAGTCTCCTCGCGACTTATTCAGCATTTGGAGATTCATTTGCAACTCTGGGTCACTCTGAAAGTTCAAGGCCATGGAGTAGTGTTTTAGGACAAATTTTCATGTATAGCATCATCCCATTGTGTGGGGTTGTCCAGAAGCAGATACTAAAACTTTAAGTGAATAATCTGAAAAAATAAATCTCTGTAAGAAAACAAAAAGAAAGAACAGTGAGTGGAAAAAAAGGCCATCAATTTTGGAAAAAAGGTCCCCACGCTCCAAGCCATGGATCAATCAATCGTTCTAGTGGATTGCTAGCGCCCCTTTCCACTAGCACACACACAAATTGAAATTCTGTTATATACCAAAGAAATGATATGTGAGTATGCTTGGATATTCTGAGATATTTTACCATTTATCGGTTAGATTAATTTTGTATTTAAAATTTATAATAATCTTGTGTTATAAATTATAAATAAGCTCCTCAATTAAATTAATAAATTAAAATAATTACGTTACTACGCATTAGATTTGTATAAGTTTTAACAATAAAGGGTATATTATAACAAATAATATTAATATCGAGCTATGGATGGGAGGGCATGATCGGCCTATGGCCAATCCCACTCCAGTGGATCCCGGTAAGCACAGATCGATCCGGCATTGCAACCTCCTTCGTCGCGTTCCTGGCGTTCCACATTCTAGGGAGCTTTCTCGCGTCCCACCGGGACTGGCGTCGGCCATGGCGCTCTATGTTCCTCGTCTACTTGCTCGCCGCGATCCTCAAGGAGAAGACCAGGATTTTGCCGCTCCCAAAAGAGATTTTGCCGCTCCTCGCAGTGACGGCATTTGGATTGGAGTTCTTCCTCTTTCTATCTCAAGGAAGACGATGGCACCGGCGTCCAGGGGCAGTACCATCGGCTCCTCCTCGTTCCGATCGGCGTGTGTTTGCTGTTGACGCTTCTCAGGATTTGCTACACCCGCAGTGAGCTGCTGCGTTTTATTCAGAGCTTGGGATTGATCCTCCAGGGAATTTGGTTCTTCCAGATGGCCAGCTCGATCTTCTCGTCCAGGGGGATGTCTCAGGGGTGCTGGCTGGATCAAAACGGCGAGGGCGACTACGCAGTTCACTGCAAAGGGACGATGGCATTGCACAGAGGCAAGGCGATCGCGACGCTCCAGTTTAACTTGCATCTGGCCATGAACTTATGCGTTCTTCCACAAAGCTGGCGGGGGCGACTCTTCGCAAATCTCGAGGTACCAGCAGCTGGGAAGTAGCGATCAACCAGTTGCGGGATCGTTCCAGTTGAGTGAGACGGTTCCCGGCTTGCAAATCCGGACGCAATGGCCAACTTATGTGCTGGAAGAGGAAGACGAAGCATAGGATCACAGCAAAGGTATTCAACCATTTACTTTTCTTGTGAAGAAGATCTATCTACATGGTCCTTGAAGGGTCTTTCTAAAGCATGAACCACAAATGGATTCAGAGCTGAGTTTCAAAAAATGATTTGTCAAATTGTAGCTAATACCACCAACCTCGCCAACTTTGAGAAGGCGTATCTGTAAATTTTGTTGAGTTTCAAACTGGAAGAGGAGGCAACCAGGATCGAACTAGTGACCTATGGGACTGCAGCCGATTGCTCTACCACTGAGCCATACCTCCATTTTCATTAGTAATGTTAAGAATGATATTCAGCGAGAAACTTGATTCTTTTTCTAAACAAGGCAAGGTATGGTTTCCGCCGTGGAACTGGCACAATCAAACAGACAACAGGTTGTAGAAACCGAGCATCTTCTAAAGGATTTGCTGGAGAAAAAAAATGGTCTTGCACGGATTATTTTTACCAAGGCTGGGATTGATAACTCGGCTCTTTTGCAAGCAACTGAGCGATACATCGAGCGCCAGCCTAAGGTGAAAAGTGTTTTTTTTTTCTATTGAGACATTCTGATTGTGCGCGTGTTCTTCTAGGTGACGGGAAACATATCTGGTGCTATGCTTGGCCAGAGCCTCGACAGTTTACTCAATCGAGCCAAGGGTCACATGAAGGACTTTGGAGATAATTATACGTCAATCGAACATTTGTCACCCGCGGAAGACATTCGTATCGGGAAGGAGTTGTTTGGGCAGTTCGGTCTCAATGCCAAGGCTACTAAACATGCGATCACTGCCATTCGAGGGACACAGACGGTTACTGATCAAGGTTCGCTGTTTTCTTTGTCAAAATTCTCAACAGTCTCGTTGTTTGTTTTCTCGACCCAGCCCCTGAAAACAAGTATGAAGCACTCGAGAAATTTGGAGTGGATTTGACGGAGATGGCCCGCCAAGGAAAACTTGATCCGGTCATCGGTCGTGATGACGAAATTCGACGGTGCATTCAAATCTTGTGTGCCGGCGAACCAAGAACAATCCTGTCGTGATTAGAGAGCCTCGTGTTGCTATAGCCGAAGGGTATGGAAATGACTGGCTTCTGCTGACTTGATTATCTTGCATAGACTTGCTCAGCGTATAGTTCAAGGAGACGTGCCCGAGGCCCTTGCCAACCGGAAGGTATGTTTTACGCGAGTGCTATTGCAACACCTTACCATTAAAAATGCAGCTGATATCATTGGACTTGGGAGCCTTGATCGCAGGAGCGAAGTTTCAAGGAGAATTTGAAGATCGATTAAAAGCTGTTCTAAAAGAAGTGAAGGAGTCAGAGGGGTACATTGTGCTTTTCATTGATGAAATCCACATGGTCGTCGGGGCAAGTACTTTGTGTGTGGGATTTTGCATTTTCGACTGCAAGCACGGTACTTGTTTTTACAGGTGCCACGTCGGGAGCGATGGATGTTGGAAACTTGCTGAAGCCAATGCTGGGCCATGGTGAACTGAGGTGCATTGGTGCCACGACAATAAAGGAATATCGCAAGTACCTTGAGAAGGATGCAGCTCTGGAAAGTGCTGAGATAGTCAGCAAGTGGACAAAGATTCCCGTCTCAAGGCTGCTCTAGTCCGAGATGGAGAAGCTGCTCCACCTCGACGAACACTTACATAAGCGCTTTTTCGGCCAAGACCCCGCAGTGCAAGCCGTGGCCGACGCTATCCGCCGTTCCAGAGCTGGACTCGCGGATCCAAACCGTCCTATCGCCAGCTTCATGTTCATGGGGCCGACCGGAGTCGGGGAAACGGAGCTGGCCAAAGCTCTAGCCGAATACCTGTTCGACACGGACAAAGCGCTGCTGAGATTCGACATGAGTGCATGGAGAAGCACGCCGTGTTCCGGCTCATTGGCGCTCCTCCAGGATACGTGGGATACGAGGAAGGCTGGGCAGCTGACCGAGAGCGTCCGCCGGCGGCCTTACTCGGTGGTTCTCTTCGACGAGATCGAAAAGGCTGCGGACGTCTTCAACATCTTCCTCCAGATACTCGACGATGGCCACGTGACGGACTCCCAGGGCCGGACGGTGAACTTCGCCAACACCGTGGTCAACCTCGGCTCGCAGCACATCCTGGACGCTCTCAAATCATCGGGCGACAAGAACGCGGCATATCAGACGGTGATGGAAGTGGCTCGCTCCACCTTCCGGCCAGGAACAGGGTGGACGAGTTCATCGTGTTCCAGCCCCTGGACGTGGAGTAGATCCAAGAAATCGTCAAGCTCCAGGTAAGTTGCGTTTTCGCGATCAGGCAGTTTATGATCTTTGGCTTTTTTTCTCTAGCTGCAAAACGTCCAACACCGCAAGATCTCTTTGAAGATCACGGACGATACGGTTCAGGTGTTTGCCAAGCTTGGATATGATCCTAACTATCCAGTGAGCTGGCTAAAGGGATTTTGAAGGGCGAGGTCAACGAGGAGGACACGGTGCTTATCATGACAGAGGACATGAGAAAATGGTCGCCTTCTTTACATCAGCATAAAGTTTCACCTGTTTTTTTTTTTTTGGAGTTCTTGAGTTATACCTTTTACTAACTTTTCTCAAGTCATTGAGACACCAAAATAAATGTCTTGTAAACTGCGAAGAGTTATTAGGTGGTGAATTTTATGTAAGAATCTGTATGAACATTATGGACATTTCTTCAGTAGCTGGTGTTCAAGATTTATTTTGAAATATTGTCTAGGCCATCAAGGGCCTCTTGCTCACACTACCAATATCCGTAACTTTTGATGGTAACTCAACATCACGATCCAATGTCAAATCAACATCACCGTGATTTCTATACCTGTACCACCTCGCACAGGCCACATACACCACGAAGTTGACGGCGCTGATGCTTGCAAGCAGCAGGTAGAAGTTGCTGATGTTACCCTTATTGATATTGCTTGGCAGCCACCCGAGCCCGCCACCTTTTGTAGTAACGCTCTTCACAATGTCCACAATGGTGGAGCTCAAGAAGTAGCCCAGGGAGAGCGAGACAAAGGTCAGCGCCGTGGACATGTTGCGAACTCTCTCGGGGGCCTCGCGGTAGAAAAACTCCATGAGACCCACGAATGTGAACATGTCCGCCAGCCCAATGATGAAGTACTGGATCATGATCCAGTAGATCTTGAGCGGCACCCTCGCGGTGGGCGAATCGAGGAGCCCAAACTCCCGAGCGACGCGGATCCGCTTCTTCTCCACCAGCGCCGCCACCACCATACTCGCGATCGCCAGAAGCAAGCCCACGGAGATCCTTTGCAAGTACGTGATCCCGCTCTCGTGACCCGTGGCTCGCCGCGCGATTGGCACGAAGATCCGGTCGTAGATTGGGAGAGCTATGATCATGAACACGACCGGGAGCGCTGCCACCGACGCCGGAGGTATCTCGAAGCTCTTGGTGATCCTTCGATCCATCGTCCGGCCTTGCTGGAGAGTTACTGTCTGGACTTGAGCGATGACGCAGTTCAAAACGATGGTGCTCGCGAAGATCGGGAGGATTCGTAGGATGAGCTTCACCTCCTCGACTTGTGTCACCGTGCACAGCTTCCAGGGGCTGGTTTGTGCGGTCGGGGGAGAGTTATAGTCGACGATGGCTGCTCGATCCAAGAAGCTGCCATGGTTACAAAGACGATTGATCACTATATCGAAGCGAATCTCAAAATCTTACGTGAACTGGTCCGTGTGCTCGATCCTGTAGCCCATCTTTGAGTCATCGAGAGGACCCTGATGGAGAACTTCCGGGGACAAAATTTGAAGCTTGCGGTTCTTAAACGCGGCCACAACAACTTGGGCGAAGCTTGTGACTGGACTTTGGGTTCCGTTTATGGGTGAGTTGTGTTGGTAGAGTGGATAGCCAGCGGCAGCGACGATCACGCCCAATACCATGCATCCAAGCGCGATGAGATAGCCAACTTCGAAGGAGACGTTTTCTTGCGTGTAGACGAGTGCCGTGATCGCGATGAGCGCTCCGATGCAGAAAAGGATGAAGTACGTGTTGAAGTACGTCCCCAGTTCTTTCTTCTCCACAGGCGAGTTCTCGTCGAAGTGGACTGCTCCCATGGTCGCGATGTTGGCTTTGACACCTCCGGCTCCAAGTGCTAGAAGGTAGAGTCCTCCGAAGAACACAGCCTTTTGGGAAGAGGTTGCGCTGTTGCAGGAAGCATCTAGAAGCTGGCACTCGGGTGGAGTGAGAGATTCTATAGATGCTACGAGCGCCACGAGAAGAATCCCCTGCGCAGAAAATCGGCATCGTCATCAAGTAGGTACTATGTATTTTTGTTTTGGAAATCCGAGAAATGGAGATAAGAGAGAGATCTTTACCAGGACTTCCAGGACGCCAGAGACGACGATAGTCTTGAACCGACTCCACCAGAGATCTGCCACAAGCCCTCCAAGGAGCGTGAGGAGAAACATCGTTCCCATGAAGTTGGTCACAATGTTGGCAGCAGTGGCGAGGCTGAAATGCTCCGTGTTGAATGCAAACGTGAAGAGATTGATCCCAATTGACAAAGAAGCGGCAGATTCGAGCGTCACCACCGCTGCAAAAGAAGAAATCAAATCACAAATCAAGACGATGTATCAAAACCATGAGAAGAAGAATGTAACAATGATCAAGACCGTGGAGAGTCCACATTCAAGAGGCTAGAGGAAAGGAAAAGACCCAAAATCTATCCAAGCATCAATTTGGTACCAAAGATGAAGGGTGCCACTCTCCAAGCTCGAGCAGTGAACGCCATGGAGTCTGATCAATCGCTGTTCCCGCGCTCGCTCGCTGAGGATTCACACGCGAACAGAGTAAAAATCTCCCCCAAAGCCGCTTTGTTTGTTTCGCTTACTTAAAAGAGAGACGAGGCCATGAAGATGACGTCATTTTGATTGCTAGGTCTGAACGTCCGAGAAGAGTATCGCGGGATTAAACTTCTTTAAAAAAAACTCGAGAAAAAAGTTTATGGAATCTCGGGTTTTGGTTTTCACCTTGCTCTTTTGTTTGCTGTCTTTAATCTTGTGTTCGAGCCAGAGTTTTGACGGATACGGTGGGGGTAGAAAGAATCCTCATTTTTCCCCTTGGCTTGACTTTTATGCTTCCATCACATGGCAAGAAGTGACTCTCGCGGCAGAATCAAAGCATATCTGCACATTTGAATATTAACTGTCTCCTCTCAAGACCCAATTCAGAGAATGATGTTGTAGTTACATCTGCAGACATCTCCAGTCGCGAGGAGATCTGCGATGACTTCCACAACCTTGCGGAAGATCAGCTGGCCCCAAGAACACTCTGGGGTCACTCTGAAAGTTTAAGTGTTCTAGGACAAATTCTCGTGTATAGCTAAAGTGGTTTTCCATTAATAATCTCAATCTTAAGCCTGTAAAAAGGCCTGATAATTTTATAAAACAAAAAAAAAAAGAATTCTCTATAAGAAAACAAAAAGAAAGAACAGTGACTGGACAAAAAAGCCCATCAAATTTGGAAAAAGGTCCCCACTCTCCAAGCCATGCATCAATCAATCGTTCTAGTGGATTGCTAGCGCCCCTTTCCACTAGCACACACAATTTGAAACTACCAAAGATACGTTTTTCTTACTTTGTATAAGTTTTAACAATAAAGGGATATAGTATAGCAAATAAAAATATTAATAACAAACTGAAATTTTATTTAGGTCAAAAACTTCGAGCTATGGGATGGGAGGGCATGGCTGCGACGGGAGCGGGCTTCCTAGGGATCGGCCTATGGCGCCTGGTCGCCAATTCCACTCCAGTGGATCCCGGTAAGCAGCAGCACAGATCGATCCGGCATTGCGACCTCCAATCGCTCTTCGTCGCGTTCCTGGCCTCGCTCCACATTCTAGGGAGCTTTCTCGCGTCTCACCGGGACTGGCGGCGCGGCTACCCGGTGGCGTCGGCCATGGCGCTGGAATCCTCGGGCACGGCCTCTATGTTCCTCGTCTACTCCCTCGCCGCGATCCTCAAGGAGAAGACCAGGATTTTGCCGCTCCCAAAAGAGATTTTGCGGCTCCTCGCAGTGACGGCATTTGGATTGGAGTTCTTCCTCTTCTATCTCAAGGAAGACGATGGCAGCGGCGTCCAGGGGCAGTACCATCGGCTCCTCCTCGTCCCGATCGGCGTGTGTTTGGTGTCGACGCTTCTCAGGATTTGCTACCCCCGCAGTGAGCTGCTGCGTTTCATCCAGAACTTGGGATTGATCCTCCAGGGGACTTGGTTCTTCCAGATGGCCAGCTCGATCTTCTCGTCCAGGGGGATGTCTCAGGGGTGCTGGCTGGATCAAAACGGTGAGGGCGACTACGCAGTTCACTGCAAAGGGATGATGGCATTGCACAGAGGCAAGGCGATCGCGACCCTCCAGTTTAACTTGCATCTGGCCATGATCCTCGCGGTGGTGCTGCCAACTTATGCGTTCTTCCACAAGGCTGGCGGTGGCGGCGACTCTTCGCAAATCTCGAGGTACCAGCAGCTGGGAAGTAGCGATCAACCAGTTGCGGGATCGTTCCAGTTGAGTGAGACGGTTCCCGGCTCGCAAATCCGGGCCCAATCGCCAACTTATGTGCTGGAAGAGGAAGACGAAGCATAGGATCACAGCAAAGGTGTTCAACCATTTATATTTCATGTGAAGAAGATCTATCTACATGGTCCTTGAAGGGTCTTTCTAAAGCATGAACCATAGAGCTGAGTTTCAAAAAATGATTTGTCAAATTGTAGCTAATACCACCAACCGAGAAGTTACATATATCTCTAAATTTTGTTGGATTTCAAACTGGAAGAGGAGGCAACCAGGATCGAACTGGTGACCTATCGGACTGCAGCCGATTGCTCTACCACTGAGCCATACCTCCATTTTCATTATGGTAATGTTAAGAATGATATCCAGCGAAAAACTTGATTCGTTTTATCGTTTGTTTTCGAGAGAAGATTGAAATCAGTGTCAAAGTATTTATTTACATGGTATCTTCGACCTTTTGTTTGAATGGTCGAGATCGCTGTTTTAGAGTGTTGTTCTGTGTCGATACGAAAAAAAAAATGTAGTCTACGTAGCTCGTAGAGCTTATTCTCCCTGTCGCGAGTATCTTATTTCAGTGTTCTCCGTTTGTTCTAATCTTCTAGTCGTATAGCTCCTCCACATTGCACTCTCCAGTGTAGACTTTCAAGCTCCTGGGCGAGCCGCGGCTGCCCTCGGCAAACAAGGCTCTATCGTTCGCAGCCATATGCAACACAATCTTGTAAATCATTTCAACCTGTGGGAGTACCTTGTTTGCCTATGCAAGAGGAAAAAAAAAGAGATTTTTTACCTGGTTTGGAGCTTGGCATAACTGTGCAATAGTTTCTACTGCAAGTGGCTCGGCTGGTTCCTTGCAGCTGCAAGCAAGAAAGCATTAATAAAGTCTGCCAAACAGAAGATTTCCTTCATTGCAAACCTGGCCTCGTTTAAAACCGCAAGAACTCTCTTTTGCAAGGCCAATACGTCTGCCGCTGCTTTCTTTCCTGCCTCGACGCCTGCGGCACACACTGATTTGATCAATTCGCCCAGAAGAAACCTTACCTGGTTGATGATACGCGTTAATGTTTACCAAGCTCGCATAGAGGCCGACTGCTCGTTCATACAGCGCTATCAGCGCACCGATAGTCCGAGCATTGACTTCTTGGACAGTTACTGTGATGGATTCCCTCTTGTTTGCATAAAGAGCGGATCTGGTCCCCTGAAAATGCTCCAAAGCTATCAGCTGAGAAGATTTTCATGAGGAAATACTCTTACCTGAAGCATACCAAACAGGTAGTCACCACAAGTTACGCCAGGCTCAAGCTCCCAGTCATGGCCCGGAGGTCTGTCCCGAAGAACCTCTATAAAAGTTGCAAAAAAATTTGAAACACCCTCTCTAAGCTGTTGAATGTATCTGAGAGAGATCAAGCGTCAACTTCCTTTTAAGAAAAAATGAAAAAACTAACGCGTGTTGATCTGTGCTGCCTTTGTTCCCGTACACACTTAATCCTTGATTTACCTTCACAGGAGACAATTGTCACAACCAGAAAGAAGGAAGAAAAAAAGGAGAGATTTTATAGGTACCAAATTCCCGTCTAAGTCGAGTTCTTTGCCAAGAGACTCCATCACCAACTGCTGTAAGTAGCGACTAAACAAGAGCAAGCTGTCTTTGTAGGGAAGAACAACCATGTCTTTGGATCCAATACCATTCGAGGCCCAATACCAGCAAAGTGCTAGCAAAGCAGCGGGGTTCTCTTTAATCTTAAAACACAGCAAAACAAAAACAAATAAGTTTGCATGGAGAAAATACTAAAAGAGCTCACCGATTGCTTTCTCGTGGCCTTGTCCATCAATGCCGCACCATAAAGCATATCGTCCACGTTGATGCCCTGAAAAGAAACGACCACGCTAGCACGCTATCAAGTTAAACTTCAACACGCACCTGAAGCGCAGCTGGAAGAAGTCCCACGGCTGATAATTCAGAGGTTCTCCCTCCAACCCAGTCGAACATTGGAAACCTTGCAAGCCAGCCCTCACTGCGAGCGGTGGTGTCAAGCAAGGATTTTTCTTGAGTGATCGCCACAGCCTGCTTTGGAAAGTCAAGTCCCTTCTCCCGGAAAGCTTTCTGGACTTCCAACAAGCCATTGCGAGTCTCTGGAGTACCACCACTCTGTATGCAAGAAGAATACAAGCAATAAAGTAAGAAAGAAACTTCTAAACTGGAAAAACATCTATTATACCTTCGAGATAACAATCACTAAAGTAGACGATAACTTGGCCCCGAGCTGAGAAATTTGGTGATCAATACCAGCAGGATCGGTGTTATCAATGAACCTGATCTGTGCAGCGAAACAAAGTCAAGCACTAGCAAAAAAAAAAAAGAAAAAGAAAAAAAAAAGAAAAAAAAAAACCGAGCTTTACAAATTAATCACCTCAAGAGGAGGATTATCAGGTGCCAAGGCTTCGGCCACAAACTGAGGTCCTAACGCGGAGCCTCCAATTCCAATCGACAAAACATGCGTGAATTTTCCCGCTGGGCATGGTGGTGGCTTTATCTGCTCGCAAAGTAAAGATCACAGTATGAGAACTAGAAGAACGTGTACGAAAGAACTCGATCGATGGATCGATCAAAGAAGCTTTACCTTACCGCTGATAACATCTCCAGCGAAAGCCTTCACTCCCTCGAGCGTCTCATCGATTTGCTTCTTCAGATAGTAGCTTGGAGCAAGCTCGGAGTTTCTCAGCCAGTAGTGGCCAACCATTCTTTTCTCGTCCGGATTGGAGATATCACCGCCTTCGAGCTTCTCCATGTCCTTGAAAGCCTTTGCAAACCTCTCCTCCATCGCCTTGACAAAGCCATCGCTAAATCCCATCCGGCTCACATCCACGTACAAGCCGAGCTCCTTGTGCTGGTAGAGCCACTCCACATACCTCTCCCACAGCGCGCTAGCCTCCATCTCCAGCGCCGGCTTCTCCATAAGGGCAGCGGAAGCGCCACCGGTGCCGCTGCTGGCGATCGCTCCACAGATCCGCCCCCTGGTTCTTGCGATCCTGCTTGGATTAGCTCCAGGGATGCTAGAAAGGGCGCCGATTCGCTCGATCCTGGATCTACAATCGAGACGAGACGCGCATTGGTGTGCCAAGCTCGCCATGGCTAGACAAAAAGCCGCCCTGTGGTGTTTCCTGTGCTAGGGCTCACTCACATTTTTTAAAAACAAGGTCAACCTTCTGACGTGGCGTTCAAGGTCTTTATTACACGTGGCACAGTTATAAAATGCCACTTGGCAGCTGCCATAAGCTCCCTCGTTTTTCTTTTATAATCCAACACTGGCAACAGACTTTCTCGGCGGAATGGAAGACATTAAGAAAGAGAGAGGTATAGAAAATGGCTCTCTTCTTGTATAAGTCTAGGATCAAAAGACAATGAGAACCACTGCTACTGTTGTTGCTCTAGCTAATCTTCACCGTGTGTTTCACTGGCTATTCCGAAAAAATCCTTAAGGCATTGTGAAAATCATCAAGAACATCTCCAGGTTCCAGATGTATTCGGCTGGGCTAACATTCGCAGATAGCATGGAAGTCGAAGGCCGCAAGGTCTCCATAACCCTCATTGTCTCCGAAACGTCGATGAGTCCTTTCGGGGAGTTTCTCTTGTATACATTTTTTCCATCGCTGGGGCTTGTCCAGAGGCTCGGCACAAGGATGATGAGGGGCTTTTTAATGTTCTTGCCACCGCCCCATCTCAATTCTAAACTACGGTACTATGGAGATTACTCACGGGATCTTGATCAGGCACACTGTGTATGAAGGAAGCATCATATTCAAAATCTGTTGCTAGATCACTACAAGCCTTGATAATCCACAAGTTTTGCAGATTATCCAAGTGCGGGTGATGATTCAGATGGTTATCTTGAATCTCCAGATGGATCTTACATTGTTGTGAATGACATAGGCATGAAACATGCATCTGGAGAAACGAGTGACACTTCTTTTCAAACTTTGATTTGAATTTTCGTTGGCCCGAGTGTGGCATTTTTTCACACACTACAGAAGCCCCTGAGTACTCTCGTCAATAGTTGCGGGTGTCAAAGTTGACACCAGTGGAATAGCTGTGTTGGGGTGCCCAATTCGCAGGAATGACATTGTGGGCGATGATCTTCTCTCCGGTTTGAAGTGCCGTGAGCCGAATCGAAAATGGAGCTCTCAAAGGCGTGCCGCCACCTGCGTTCAGGCACCAGTTTGCCCCCCAAACTTGGCTCATCGGCTGCCAAGCAGAAGACCCAAACTATATAGTAACAAAAGTTCCATTAGTTGTCAATCTCTTCACCAAAAACTTTGGAATTTCTTTGCAAAAGGTGATTACCTGTTGGAGCTCGACTGTTGCAAGATCTCCCGGACCATCCAGATATCTGATAACTGTCTCAAACCAAAAGGGTGTGGAGCCATCGGCGACCTGGAACACGACGCCCTGGCTCTTGTAGATGCATGGAGCACTGAAATTGGGAAGAGATTCCTCAAATATTCCAGGAATAATCTCAGAGTCAGGCTTACCGTCTGTAGAGAACATTGAGAACTCCCGCGGCGAGGAGGTGCTGGATGTTTGCGCTGCCGCTGGCCATCTTTCCAAAGGCAGTGCCACTGAGATCAAAGTGTGTTCTTCCTCCCGAGCAGTAGCCTCCGGGACACTCGTCAGTGATGACCACGTTGACGGGCTGAGGCGAGCAGAGCTGCCCGTCGACGCACTTCACCTACATGGATTTGGATGGCCACATTGTCATGAGAATGATCGATTGATTTGATGCATTCAATAGATTGATACTACAGGGAAACTTGAAAAAACAGAGAAAGAAAGAAGAGCAAAGAAACTCATGATAGATTACCTCAAAACAAGTTCCACAGCCAATTCCATTCATGAAAAGAATTGGGCTCCCAGCACCTACATCTGAGCCATAGGGTGTGTTGGGCAGGCTTCCATATCCACAAGCTCCACCTTCAAAAAAAGAAAAGAAAGAAAGCATTGAGAAAAATCACGAGTTATAACATTCTAACTCGACACACTCTTCTAGTTCTTTCCTAAAAATCATTTCCTGATGATTGTACAATTCTCAAAAAATTTGTTATTGGGTGTGATTGCATTGTACCATCAGTTCCAGCTCCATTGGGACTTCCATACCATGTTGCAGTGGCTGGTTCCCATTTGATCATTTCATCCTTCTTCACTGGAGTGGCTTGAGCCAAATCGAAAGTGCAGCCACTCAAGGCAGCAAGCAGCAGCAAAGCAGCAGACATAGTAGCCATCTCACAAACAAAAACTATCAGAAATTCAAAGTTCTCTCAAAGTTTTTTCTTGGTAATGACCAACTGACTAACAAGAAGAAAAAAGAGGCTCTTTTCCCCTGATCAGAGAAAAGAGATGAAGAACAATTGGTTCCTCCACAGCAGGAACACGAAACACTTCGTTTTGATGCTGCTGCCTGCTTGCTCCACCTCCAAAGCAAGGACTCGAATTTATAATGCCTGTAAATTTCAAGTGCAAGTGCAAGTGCACTTATAGCAACAATGTGCACTGCTCTGCTTCACTGCTGCTTTTTTTCAAGAGATGTTAATAATAAAGCTGCCTTGCAGCTCGCTTTCTCCTTTTTTTTTTTGTTCCTTTTTATTAAATTTTGGTAGGATAAATCAACTGCCGAGAAGTGGGAGGAGTAAGATCAAATCAAACCGTCGCAGCTATCTACAGTTTTTTTTTTCCAACCGATTTCATGAAGGGCACACTAAAAGCATGACACACAAACCAACACATGCTTCCGTTGAAAAAAACGACCCGCTCTCGGGCCAAGTTATTACAAATTACAAGCGACCAATGCAAAAACCTCGCATAGCTTTTGTTGCCGTTGAATCTGTTGCACGATTGCCTGAAATCGCGATGGCCACAACCTCCACAGCTCGAGATTCTAAAAAAAAAAGCTGGTTTTGGTGTCTTTTCTTGCTTTAGTTTGGTGCCTGTTTGGCGGTGGATTCCGGAAGAGACCTCTTTGGTGTTTGTTTGTTGTTTTGTATGAATTTCGGGAACTTCTTCTGGAGGATCACATGGCGTTTCCATGATTTATTGAACATTAACTTTACTAAAACATTAGCTTATCACAAAGTTGGCTTTTCATCTTCCACAACAGTAGTCTCACAAGCCCTGTCTGCACGAATGTGGACAATGAAATCCAAAACGTGTAACTACTACCTTCCTTTGAACATTTTTTTTCTTCAACTATTTTATGGGGTTGGTAGTTGGTCCGTCACCTTTTTCTAGGCTTCCTTTCACGTCCAATCGTGCATGGCTATGGATAACTTGTCTGGATTGTCATGCGCTTTCTAGAACGTCAAAGAAAACACACTGCCACGCCCTTCCAATCGCAGCCATAGGGAAGTTTAAAGGTAACTAAATTTCCCCGCTAAAATTGAGGTTTGGAGTTTGCCACGTGGGTATTGAGGAGAGAATATACTGGGAATCGTTCTGCTTTTGTGGTTTCGAGAGAAAAGAGGGAAGTGTGAGCAATGGAGAGAATGGGGCTATGGCTACACCCTTCTCCTCCCAGCTTTCTGGAATCGCGATCCAAGCTCCTCGCGCCAGGTAGATTTCTGGAGGTATCTAACGGTCTAGAGCTTAATCAGAGCAAGCAGCGTCGGCGGCGGCGGCGGGTCTCCAAGATTGCTGCGGCTGGATTGACGCGCTCCTCGCAATCGATCGAGGCCGCGGATTATCAGGCCGGGCCGGCGCGGCAGATCGAGAATGCGGTGGCTGCGCTGGAGGATGCTTTCAATCAGGTCAGTACCAGTGGTCCCGATGGCAGCGAGGAGGGATTTGCGAAGAGAGGAGATAGGGTTTCAAGGAAGAGGACCGATCGAGCTACTGGAGGATCATCGGGCACACCGTCAAATGGAGGGGATCTTTGGTCGGATGAATCCGAGGAGCTCATACGATCGTCGTTTGGTGTCAAGCCAGTGGATTGGGGAAATCTCCATCACCGCTACTTGACATCGCAAGAAGAAATCGAGCTAGTGGAGCTCCTGACTCCAGTGAAGGTATTCTCTCTCTTTCGGTTCTTCCCAGCTTATAGTTTTTCTTCTTCACAGCACTTACATCAAGTAAGAAGTGAGCTACGACGAGTTCTACGTAGAGAGCCCAGCGATGACGAGTGGGCTACGGCAGCAAATACGGACTTTAGAACCTTGCGACGCCGGCTCCAACTCGGCGAAGCCGCGCAAAACAAGTTGATCGAGGCAAGTTCTTCTCGATCGATCATCTTAACTCTTTCTTATTTCTTTCTTCTTTCTCCAGCACAACTGCCGGCTGGTGCTGTTCTTGGCTAGAAGATACGAGCGTGACGCGGGGAGTTTCTCTCTGGAAGATTTGTGTCAAGAAGGTGTCAAAGGTCTGATTGATGCTATGGATCACTTCAATCCCGGCAAAGGTACTCGCTTCTCCACGTACGCTATCTTTTGGATACGAACCGCGATGGTGAGAGCCATCACGAGAACTGGTCAAGTGATTCGCCTGCCTTTCAGCTTCGCAGCGGTAACAACAGATACATCTCTTTTTTCTCCGTTTTCTCTTGCTTGCGAGACTGAATCGTGGTTTGCTTCTCCAGAAAAAGGTGGAGATCCGAAAGGCGAGACGAGAGCTCCGGGTGGAGCTGGGGAGAAATCCCAGCGACGAGGAAGTGATGGAGAGGACTGGATTGGATCCAGTCCAGTTCTGGAACATATACTACTACAGCAACTTTCGAGTTCGCTCGCTCAACGAGACTGTGCGAGGCACCGACGAGGAGTTTCTCGAGTACTTGCCAGAGACCGGCGACATTGTCTCGGAGAGCTCGGAGGTCCGAGAAGAAATCGTCACAGCGGTAAGCAAGCAAGCAGCAAGAATCTCCTCTCAAGCATCTAACTCGATTGGAAAACTTGCAGCTCCAGCGATTGAAAGACAAGGAGAGGATGGTGTTGCAGCACCGATACGGGCTGGAAGATGGAGCTATTGCAGTGAAATCGCTGCGAGAGGTGGGAAGAAGGCTAAACATGTCGCAGGAGATGGTGAGGAGGTACGAGGCGAGCGCCTTGGAACGTCTCCGGCACCAGGAGGAAGCCAAATCCCTTCGCTCGTGCCTCGCTTCCATATAAACTGTGTAATTCTCCTCAAGAACCCCCAAGAACCCTAAAAATGTGTCTAGAATTTAGGGCTTAACGGCAATGGAGGTTTTAGTGGAAGCGCTCGAGGAGATGTTGGGGAAGTTTCGCTCGTCTTCTCCGCGGGGATTCGTCGAGCCGGTGCTCGCCTTCGTTCACGCCGTGGATTGGACTGTAAGAGAGATTCTAGTCTTGATTTTTCTCTCTAGACTTTGGGCTTACAGGAGCCTTGGATTGGTGCGCTAGTAGCCTTTCATTTGTTTCTTCTCGTGTTTATTCTATGGACAAGGAGAAACACCGATTTGCAAATGGCCATCTTCTTCCTCTCGAGTGAGAAAAAAAACCTTTTCTTTCGATCTCGCATTGTTTCGTTTGATCCATTTTCGCAACTTCTCCCAGTGTTTGGAATCTACTTTGCGCAGACGATCAATTCTTTCCTGGCTCGGCACTGGCAGAAGTTTTCTCGGCAGCCTTACTTTGACAAGCGCGGCGTGTTCATCTCCACTCTGTGGTCCGGCCCGCTGCTTGTAACATCAATGGTGATTCTGGTGAGAGAATCTCTTTCTTTCTTTCTTTCTTTCATCTCTGATCGTTTTTTTTTTTTTTCCTTCCAGGTGAATAGTCTCTTGCAGATGGTAAGGCTGATGGTGAAGTGGAAACGAGCGGAGCTTAAGCACAAAGCTCGACTAGCTCAACAACACAAGACTGACTAGCAAAGTATTGTCGGAAACACCACGAGGTTTGTAATTGAGAGATTTTTCGATGTTTTTGCTCTTATATCGTTTGCGGAGTCTTTGATCAATTCTTGTGTTTATTCCCCTGTTCCAAAGGTTATGTCGGTTTTAGCTGTTTCTTACGAAATCTTCTGGAAGTACCCTGGCAAGATCAGAAAAAAAAAGTCTTGCAAGATCCAAACGCGACGACTTCCTGAAAAAAAATAGTAACGAGGAATAGTATATGATGCGAATATTCTAAAGGGTTCTTCGTCTCTATTTGGAAAAGTTCTTCGTGGGGAGGAGAAAGGAAGGGCGCTGATCCAGGTAGAGAGGAAAAGTCTCCATAGATTATCGATCAATCGATCGATTGGGAGATTGGAAACGATTGGAAAAGAGTATATAAGGGATGAATAATTTGCTATCGAGCTCCTTCCCTCGGGGATCCGACATGGAGGCCAACCCCTTGGACGTGGAGATGGCGGTCCACAACTCGGAGAAGAGCCTGGTGGGCTTTTTCGAGGAGGTGAGCAGGATCAAGGACGCCATGGACGCGATCCAGGAGCTCCTCCTCAAGCTCAACGAGGACAATGAGTCGAGCAAGAGCGTCCACAAGCCGGGAGCCATGAGAGAGCTCCGGTCGCGCATGGACGAGCACGTCTCCCTGGTGCTCAAGAACGGGCGCGCCATCAAATCCAAGCTCGAGGCGCTGGACGCGAGCAATCTGGCCAACAGGAAGGTGAAGGGCTGCGAGGAGGGGTCGTCCACCGATCGAACCAGGATGTCCATCACCAACAGCCTCCGGATCAAGCTCCGCGACCTCATGGCCGATTTAGCGAACTTGCGGGAGAGGATGAGCAGCGAGTACCGCGGGACGATCGAACGCCGCTACTTCACCGTGACGGGCGAGCAGGCGAGCCAGGAAGTGATCGAGCGGATGATCCAGACTGGGGAGAGCGAGAATTTCTTGCGGAAGGCTATCCAGGAGCAGGGGAGGGGGCAGATTCTGGACACGATCCAGGAGATTCAGGAGCGGCACGATGCCGTGGTGGAAGTGGAGAGGAATTTGAGAGAGCTACAGCAGATCTTCCAGGATCTGGCGACGCTAGTGGACGCACAAGGCGCGCAGCTCAATACAATCGAGGAGCACGTCAACAAGGCAGCGTCTTTTGTGGATCGAGGAACACAGCAGCTGGTCAAGGCCAAGAGATCGCAGAGGAGAAGCCGCAAGTGGACGTGCATTGGGATAATCCTTCTCATTATCATCCTCCTCGTCATTCTTCTTCCTATTCTTACCAGAAAATGATCTAAGACTGAGAGCCAATTGGGACAAGATTTTCTAGGATCTTTCTTCATTTGAATTCTTCTGGCATAACATGTTAATTTTAAATTTTTACCACCAAGAATATATTATTATGATATTATACACTTTTATTATAAATCCTTTGCATTACAGTGGGGACTAAAAAAAAGATATTAAAGAAGGGTGTTCCCCATGTTTCCGGGTTACAATGGGGACTAAAAAGAAAAGATATTAAGGAAGGGTGTTCCCCATGTTTCTGGGGCATCAGAAAAATGTTGGAATATTATTTGATTTAAAAAGAAATATCATTATGCCACTGTAATATTATCCTATTAAACATGTGGGAAGCTTATATAAACACCTGGTATTATCTAAGAATGGTAATTAGCAGTTTTATAAAGTGATTAAACCAATAATATACATAATTTTAAAAATTCCTATAAAAGAAAATCAACTAGGGTTCTTTTGGACAATTTTTCTGCATTTATAATTAATATATTTCATATATTAACACCTTGGTTGGGGATATATTATAATTTTGCAAGTGTTTACCATCCAAAGATAAATGATTTGATAGTATGAATTGTTTAAACCTTCAAAGGGATGATTGCATTTAACTTTTGTTCACAAAAGCATAAACTTGTAAGGAAGTGTAATGGATTGTAAGTAATCAAAAAGAATGATTTAAATCACGATTCATAAAAGTTTAAATATAAAAGAAAAAATTTTATAAACAAAAATGCACCCCTTTTAATAATCACTCATGATATTTTTCTAGATATTAATACATTCATAAAAAACTATAAACATGTTTCATCTTTTTGAGAGGATGGGATGATATAAAATCTAGATGTATAAATATAATGTTATATATTATTATTAGTGTAGTGGTGTGAGTGCTTAGAATATAGAAAGGGAATACAGAAATGTGCATATCAATTAGCCCAAAAACCCTAGTTTATATACGGTCTGGATTGAAATCAATTCGATGGCTACCAAAATCCCACTACATTAATATTAGTATATGGCATTGTAGCCATACACTTGGCCCTCACATCATCCCCTCCTCTCGGAATAATGGAAGACCATCAAGGTTTTCTTATAGACGGGCCAGGATTTGGAAGAACGTCAAGAGGAGTCATCAACGGATTTCTAGGTGGTATTAACTACTTTTGATCCCTTTGTATGAAGCATTTTAACCACTACACATGCACAATCTTTGGAGGATCGACCTGCTGGATGTCATGCCGAACCTCATAAACTTGTGGTCCAACTTGCCACAACACCCGATATGGCCCTTTCCACTGCACAAGGAGCCCCTTAGATAAACCACGTACCGTAAGATGGGGAAAACGGATTAACACCAAATCATCCACTTTATACTCCATAAGAGGACGATGATGGGAGTTGTACTGCCGTTGTTGTCCCACTTGTACACGGCCTAAGTGTTCGGCAGACTCTGCTCGGACAAGTGGAAGGATGCTTGTCAAATATTGATCCCATGACTTAGCATCGGCAGCTCGTGGTAATCACAAAGGTAAACCCAGCTCCGTTGGTAATATTGAATCATGACTATATAAGAGTTTATATGGTGAAGCACCAACAAAACTCTACACCCCTATGACATATGTATACCGAAGAAATGGCAAATAACCATCCCAATCTAAATGTTGAAAGTTCACATACTTCGCAATCATCCCCTTGAATATCCGAACGAGCCATTCCACTAGACCGTCTGATTGTGGATGATAAGCACTCATGAAAATGTGGTGTATCCCCAACCGAGATGTCAAAACATGAAATGCCTCAGCCATAAATGTGGGACTATTATCCGAAAGAATCCGCTTTAGACAAGAATGCTGGAACACCACTCGATTAAGGAGGAAGCATCCAACAGTAATTGCAGAGGCACTAGCAAGAGCACCAACTTCCACTCAACGAGTCAAGTAGTCAGAAGTAATAATAACATAGTCATTGCTTGCAATCGACTATGGAAAAGGTCCCATAAGATCAAACGCCACCAACTCAAATGGACGAGAAACTGAAATTGACTCCAACCGTCCTTCTGCAGCCCAAAGGGGAGTATTACAAGCTTGGCACCAAACACAGCTACGCACATATTGGATAATATCACGTCGCATCTCCAGCCAATAGAAAGACCTGCGCAACTTCTCGATTACACGATGATATCCCATATACCCTCCTAGAACAGGAAAATCATGATAGGCATGGAGAAACCGCGGAATAAAGATAGAAGGCACCACCAGCCATAAATGATCATCAGGATTTGTCCCCACAAAATAAAGAAGGCCGTCTTCAAGGCGATATTGAGAATGTAAATGCCGGAAAGGCAAGTCATCAGCAAGTGATGTAGGATTCTCAAACCTATCTCGAAACTTTTGAATCCACAGCTTAATATTTTGAGCCTCGCGAATCTCATCAAGAGAAGGTAGATCTTGCTCTGCGCCTTGTGGACACTGAACGTCAAGTACAACAACTGCCGACGACACAGAATCCTTGTCTAGAAAATCCATAGAGGCTGGAACAACAGGCTCATCAGAAACATGAGAAGACAATGGAGAAGAAAGAGGAGCTCGAGAAAGGGTATCAGCATCAGCCATAGAACTCCCTGGGCGATGAACAACATCAAAATTATATATCTGAAGTTTCAAAGCCCATCGAGCAGTACGACCAACCAGGTTCTTCCGCTTTAATAATGAAGTAACAACAGCATGATCACCTTCAAGTAACGTTTGAGAACCATGTAGATATGCATGAAGTTTCTTGAAACCCCAAACTGCTGCTAAACACTCCTTCTTTGTCGTGGAGTAGTTCATTTCCCCTGGTTGTAATGTATGGCTTATATACGCAATAGGATGGCACTGACCAGGCACACTCGAGTTCTCTTGCATCAACACACCTCCAAGACCAATGTCAGAAGCATGCACGGGTAAAATAAAAAGTCGAGTGTAGTCAGGATACGCCAAAACCGGAGGAGTCGTCAATAGCTCTTTGAGATCCCCGAATACCCGCTCACAATCCGAAGACCAGATGAAAGATGATGTTGATGACTTCAGCAATGCTCGCAACAGTGTAGTGCGATCAGAAAGATGATCCACAAAACGACTGAGATACTGCAACTTGCCCAAGAAGCGCTGCACATCATTCACACACTTCGGAGTAGGGAACTTTAGAACAGCCACAAGTTTATCAGGATCAACTTGCAAACCCTCACGAGAAATACGGTACCCAAGATAAGTTGTATCCTTGGACCCAAACACGCACTTCGACCGCTTCAGCTTTAAACCAACATCGCGTAGCCGATCCAGCACTTTACAAACATCATAAACGTGCTCCTCCCACATCCCCTCCGAGTGAATCAAGACATCATCAATGAAGTCAGCAGTCACCTCTGGCATATCACAAAGAACCTCGTCCATCATCTGCTGGAAAGTTGTTGGAGCATTGTTCAAACCAAACGGCATCACTAAGAACTCATACAAACCAAACAGTGTATAAAAAACAGTCTTAGGAATATCCTCTTCAGCCATCGGTACTTGCCAGTACCCAAAAGCAAGATCTAGCTTGGTGAACCAATTGTAAGGAACCGACTCCCCGAGATGTCGTAGGCTAAAGGATCCCCAAAAGCTTGACCGAAGTGACAAAGAGTTCATCGGATGGGACCAAGTCGAGGATCGAGTCCAAGACCGACTCTAGGACCGAGTTCGAGATAGAGTCCGGAATCGAATCCGAGACCGACTCGGGGACCGAGTTCGAGTCCGAGTTCGAGACCGAGTTCGAGACGGAGTCCGGATCCGAAATCGGGTCCGAGACCGAGTCCGAGGTCGAGTCCGAGGTCGGGTCCGAGATCGGGTCCGAGATCGAGTCCGTGATCGAGTCCGAACCCGAATCCGAAGTCGGATCCGAAATCGGGTCCGAGATCGAGCCAGAGACTAAGTC